TCTTCCACTATCCTCTGCGTCGGAGAAGTATAACGAAAGTAGTGTGCTTGAAGCTGGGAATAGTAGTGAAGATGATGATGACGACGACGACGATATTGATTGGGTGGCTGTTGCTGCCAAGCTGGTAGAGCAAAAAGTTGATGGAAAATAGACTGACTGGCAAGAGAAGCATGTAGTTGGGGTAATAATAAAAGTTTATGGCTGGGAAGATAACACTAAAGGCATGTGGTTGTACAAGCAGTAGAGAGAATTACTTCTTCTTTAATAGAGTGCTGGCCCTTACCGAAAGACCTTGACACAGAAAAAAAAATTTAATTTGTTCAACTTTGATTCTTCAGTTTTGTTACATTCGTTGTCATTTGGTTTATTGATTTTTTAAAATAATTCAATAAATTTTTTTTTATCATAGGCGGGATCCAGTGGTGGTATATAATTGCTATGTTTACTGTTCAACACAGTAACTTGGAGTTCGGTCACCATAGAGTCATGGGATAAGTTTTGTTTTTGGTTTTTGCCAGTTTGACTGAAAGGGTTAGCCCAAGTTGGTAACATGGGTACTGAATAACTTTCAGAAAATATGTAGGATGAAGAAAGTTGGTCACCATACCTATTATAATAATTGTTGGCACTACACCAAGGTCATCAGAGTGCGGAATCCTTGTTTCTAGAACAGTGATTGAAAATTGTGTAGTTGCATGACAATACTTCATGTTCATCTGTCTGGAGTATCCTATTCATCTTCACGTTAACTGGCTGTAAACTCCTGCAGAAAGTTCTGGTTGTTTGTCCACTTCTGGACTCTAGGCCTGTTCCCGAAACTGAATGTTGTGTGCACATCCGTTTCACAGGTCTAACTCTTTTGCGTGCAGATTGTTGGTTCCTTGCCGCTCAGGCAGATGTAATCTGACTCTAAAGGAAGCTCCCAATTAATCGACTCTGAGGACATACTTTTGGGCAGGCGGTGGGTCTGTTCTTGTTTTGCCCACAATGGGACCCACCCAGGGAATTTGGAATGTGATTTCGGCTGTGTGCCTTTGGCATATAGGAAAGTGACAAACAGCATATAAACCTCTGTTTTTCAGTTGTGAATTGAAATTTAAAAAAATAAGGGAGAGCAAATCTTGAGTTTGAAACAGGGTGGGGGGGGGGGGGCCTTGAGGGTTATTATTTTTCTCTTCTTAATGATAAACAGACTTTCCCGGGTCCACGGACCAACAGTGGAGAACCACTGTCTTAGCTAAGCATCGGGCTTGTGATCATGTCCTTCCAGGTCTCTGTATGTCTGCACAGAAGACTATGGCTTCCACCCCTAAGGTAGGTGTAAGATTGTAGAATCTTAACAGCAGAAAAGAAGACTTTACCCCAGAGAAGGTTAAATTTGGTAGAATCTCAACAGAGGAAAAGACAAGACTTTACCCCAGAACAGATAAAAGGTGGTAGAATCTCAACAGAAGAAAAGGCAAGACTTTACCCCAGAACAGATAAAAGGTGGTAGAATCTCAACAGAAGAAAAGGCAAGACTTTACCCCAGAGAAGGTTAAATTTGGTAGAATCTCAACAGAGGAAAAGGCAAGACTTTACCCCAGAACAGATAAAAGGTGGTAGAATCTCAACAGAAGAAAAGGCAAGACTTTACCCCAGAACAGATAAAAGGTGGTAGAATCTCAACAGAAGAAAAGGCAAGACTTTACCCCAGACTGGATGAAAGGTGGTAGAATCTAAACAGAAGAAAAAGCAAGACTTTACCCAGAACAGATAAAAGGTGGTAGAATCTAAACAGAAGAAAAAGCAGGACTTTACCCCAGACTGGATTAAAGGTGGTAGAATCTGAACAGAAGATTAGGGCAAGACTACCCCAGAGTAGTTGACAGACATACTCGAATGAGCATCATCACTGTAATGTTCATTATTTCGTTATTATTGGTTATTTTAAACACAATGTTTGTTTAACAAGAGTTGGAGTTTGAAATAAAGTTGTTTTCAACCAAATATTTCTTTCATTTTAATATTCTGTTGTATCTTGAAAGAAATGAGAATGATTTATTGATGGTATCAATTTGTGATCGTGATAGAACTCTGGCCTTTTAAGATGTGAACCATCTGCTTAATGCAACTTGTCTCATTTATTTAATTAGGTTAAAAGTTAAAGTCATCTTTAACCCACTTAAATAAATGAGGCAAGTTTTCATTAGGTGCTTATATGTGGTCATATGTATACACATTTATACAAATGCATATCAATCTCACAAATTCTACAACCCGTGTGGCGTCTTCTCCCTTTCACAGCTCTAACTCTCTGTAGTCTTCTTCTTCACGTTCACCAACAGAAAGTTCTGGTTGTTTGTCTACTTCTGGACTTTTATTCCAGAACTTGAGTTTTGCATGCACATCCAGTTAACAGATCTAGCTTATTTATAAGCAAAAGTTGGTTCCTCGGCTATCAGGCAGATGCACTCTGACTTTAAAAGAAAATACTTCCAGTTAGTCGAGTTTTATGGCATGCTTGTTAGCTGCTTCTTTTAAAATGGGGCCCCTTGACCCACACAGGGGCTCTATATTCCAGGTTGTCACATGTTATCCAGGGACGTCTCTGTGGCTAAGTGGTCAAGCCGTGTGCCTCACGCTCTGAAGGTCGTTGGTTCGTTTCACGGTGGCACCATCCAGTTCACGAGTGCAGTTTTTAAATGGAAATCTCTGGGGATTGTCTCACATTTACATTTATATATTCTCTAATTCTTTATAATGAGGATTCTCTGACACAAACATGACTGCATGACATAGAAGTATAGAGCGGTGAAGCACCTCCACGCCACCTTCGAGGCTGAGACATGGGTTATAACCAGCTCTTCACGGGAACAATCAGTAGAGGTACCTTGGAGTGATTGCTGCATCGAAGGATTCAGCAGTAATGTCACTTATGATACCATTGAGTTCTGAGTTAAGACCAACATCATAGCACTCAGAACATTCCCATAAGCACTCCATTCCCATCTTCAGCAGCTAGCACACAGAGTTTTAGTTCTGCTGGCACCAGTAACAGTTTGATTGTATGTCCATCTCACCCCTCCGCTGAGTGTTGAGCGTCGGCCAGATCCCCTTGTCACTCTTTGCCGCGAAATTCTCTTTAAACTGAAGAGCTTTACATGCCTCCGTACTGTTTGCTCGCTCCCAAAGGGTCCTAACATTTAGCTTGGCATGCATAAATTTACCACCAAATGGTGCAGAACTAGTCAATCTGCCTGATTGTTCATTTCCCAACACACTGGCATGGCCTGGAGAAAATAACTAAAGGACGCTAGCTACCTGGGATCTCTGAAGCGATGCTTGCCACTCTGCACAGAGTGCACCTGTCTCTGCCTTTCCTAAGTCAGTTACGATGATAACAAGTGAATGCAGCTGGTTCTCAAGCCAGTGGAAGGCTGCGGTGACTGCCTCCACCTCCATTCTCATATCATAACATTATGTAACCAAAGTGGAGTGGCTTAGACTTGTTCTATCTGTTCTGTCTTCTTATCCATTGATCTTCCTATTCATCTCTGGGACTACCATGAAGTAATCGTACCTTTTTTTTCTTCTGCAACTTTTCAGCTCTGTAAGGGGCAAATAACCCCAAACATCTTAAACAAGTCCTTTTAACTGTCATGGTTATTCCCCTTAGTATTGATCTATTTGTGAGGCTTTTGCAAGGGTTGAAACTGATAAATCTGGAAAACTCCTTGGTTACCACATATAATTAGTTTTGTGTGCGACTATTTCATTATATTCGTCCATAGCTGAGCCGTTGCAGATGTACTTTGTAATTCCAGAATAAGTTAATATAGGTGTATAGGGCTAGACCTATATTTTTATAGACCAATCGGCACAAGATGGGTGATGTGGTCAGCATCACGCCGGCTGCTTTTACTTCTCGGGACTGCACCTGGTACCCACTCAAGGCTGGGTCGACCTGGAAGCCAAGGTCATTTTAGAAAAAAAAGTCTGTCTCCACCAGGAAGTAAACCCACGACCTTCCAATCCGCAGTGTGCGTCTAGCCGCTCTGCCACGGCGACTCCCGATTCCAGAATACCTGGTTAGATTTCTGCTACAGTGATATTGAGTGCTGCCACTTGGAAAGCAGTGGCAAACTACCAAACATAAATCTTCTTTGACTCTTTTACCTCTTCGGGTGTCAAGGAAGATATAAGGTTCTGCTTTCTACTCTCCTGGCTGCCTCGACCGTAGACACATCTTGCTGTTGTAGAGTTTCTTTGGTGTAATCTTTCTATTTTAATCTTGGTCTACCTCATGCAGTGTTTTCTTCTCCTCTTTTGGTGTATGCCTTGTATGGTATGGCTTTGCAAGGCATTCTCAGGGTGCTGAGTGGTCCCGAGGCATGGCCTCCGCCTTGAGTGCTGGAGGTCCCGGGTTTAGGCCCTGGTGAAGGCTTAAATTTGATCAAGTTGATTTCCATTAATTTTCCCTGGTCTCTGGGTAGTGAGATCGGATGCCCGTATGTATTGCTGCACATGTAAAAAATCCCTTGTAAGTTGGAAATCGAAAAGAGTAGCCTGATTGCGCTGCCTGGGCAAAATTTAGAAATCTACCCAAAGTATTTCAGGATCCTCGCCGGTGCTACGGAGTTTGTGCACTGTGCTGAGAATTATCGGATCCAGGCTTCAGTTGGAAGTAGAACAGAGCACTTATGGGTTACTACCCTTATGCTATAATGTTGATCCGTCGTCTAAACTTAAACCTAAAGTCATTCTCTCTAAGTGGGGATCAATCTGTTTATATCTTACTGTATTTTCTCTCTGGTAATAAATTGTAAAATCTCTAACAGCCATAAAAAAACAAAAATACAAAAATATGCTGGGGTTGGTTCTGCAACTTCCTGTAAATGATACAAAACTAAGTTATCACATTTACCTGATAAATATTGTTAGGAAATGATTGAGTTGTTGTTATCAAAATTGTTATCTTTATAATGCATGCTGTTTAAGGACTATAAAAAGCATAATTATTAGTTATTGTTTTTCTGTCCGAAATAATGGTCACACAAAAGGACTGGACAGTCTCTGAACTCTACAGAATAATCATAAAACAATGTGACTTCTTCAGGACTATCTCTGCTCTCTCCTAAGAAGCCACATTCTTCCAGGGTCAAGCTTGGCTGGAGTAACGACTCCACTCCCCAGGACTTGTCTCGAAAGATGGCAAGCTTGCTGGAACTGATCTCTGTCTCTGCCGTTATCAGCTGGATGAGTCCAAGAACTGACAAATGCGAGTGCACCAACAGCTGCAGATGTCCAGGGTAGTTGCGGAACTTGTCAAATGTGATTGATCTTAATTCTACCAGAAGGTATCTAAGATGTGAAAAACAAAAACACCAGAGAGACGGGTAAACATAGTTTCATGAAAAGGTATTGAATCACACAAAAATGTAGAACCAGTCAAAAAAAGAAGAAAAAAAAATGCTGATTTCTGCCTTTAATTTACCACTTTTTGCAGTATAGGCAGACGGGTTTTTGAGTCTGAGGATTTATGCCCACATGGCTAGTGCTGACGCTGTGACTGTGCAGGTGAGGTTTTTATTTTGCCCCCGAGAGAAAAATTCCCCAGCCTTACCGAGGATTTGAACCTGGGTCTCCAGCTTGATAGCCCATTCTTCTCTACACTGTGGTGTAGATGTACTTTAGAGGCTAGTTTTTAAATTGTAAGCAGTTTTTAATTTGTGGATAATGGTTAAAACAGCTGCCATTAGAGTCCCAGGGGGGTTTAGCATCACAGGCCCAGGGGGTAGTAAATAAGTCATAAAAATCGGCGCATCATGCGTTCATTGGACTTCTAGGTAGCAAGCCATGAACGTATGATGATTCCTTGGGACTCAGAGAGTTAAGCAGCCTTGGTAAACTCATATTTGTGGATACTTTATATAGTATGAAACCAGCTTATCTATCTAATTGGCTCCAACTCGCCTAAGGGGTTTAACAATCAACAGTTTCAACTTTATCTAACATTTTTTTTTTTTTGGACCCTTGCTGTCACTTGTAATGTGTGGCTAGGATTCATTTCCTGTATTCACACATGTCTCTGAGCTTCAAATGTCCAAATACTTGCAAATTTTTCTTGTAGATACCTCATTGAAGTGATTTTTTTTCTTCTAAATCCTTGTAACTGTAAGACTGTCTATTCATGTCAGGTGCTGATGAGGGCTTTCTAACCGCAATGTTTACTTGTCATTTGTGATTGTGATAATGTGAATCTGACTAGCTCAGCTTTCTGTTTGGTTGATATCCTTTCATTCTTTTTAAATAGTACAAATCTGGTTAACAACCGATATCACAACATACTCATCTTCAGTTCTAATTCTGATGGTACTAGCAAGTTTGACTGTATGTCCTTTTTTGGCATTCTACCGAGTGTTGAGTATCAGCCAGATTACCTGGTCACTCCTGGCTGCACCATTCTCGTCAGACCGGGATGATTTATGTATGCTGTTCACTGACTTCAAAAGGGTCTTGACCATGACCGGCTCTAGCTGACGGGCCGTGCTGCTGACGTCACCAGGTTGGGCTAATGATGTGTTACAACAGTGATTCTCAAACTGCGTGCCGAGGTACCCTGGGGTGCCTTGAACTTATATCAGGGAAGCCGCGGCAAAAACCAAGAAAAGTCGGCTAAAAATTGTGAAATTATTGAAGAAAGCATGTAGATACCTAAAAGTTAACATTTAAGTTGTCTTTCTTCGCCGCTGTCGACAATAGTTTATGTCTTGTTTGAGAACCGCTGTGTGAAAGAATCGTTAGCCCGACCTGGTGACGCCAGCAGCACGGCCCGTCAGCTAGAGCTGGTCATGTCTTGACCGCCTCCAGCTTGACCTGCATCAATTCAAAAATCTGGCAACATTTTGGAGATATCAATCTGCTTAACTTTCTTGACTTAGTTTATTGTGATAATCTCTCGCCAGCTGATTATGCACAATGAATCCAACCAATCGTGAACAGGTCTATCAAAGACTTGATGTGAGCTGTCTTAAGGCTTCCAGTGGGAGACGATAAGATGAAGTTTTCAAGTGACAGCATTAATTGTACCGCTAAATGATTTCGTAGAACATCAAAGAATCAAAATGGTTTGGTCATCTGGGCAGAACGGAACAAAATCAGCCAGCAGCTAGAGTGTACTACATGAGTGCTGTAGGTTACAAGGCAAGAGGCTGACCAAGAAAGATATGGATGGATGGAGTAAAAGAGACACTATAGAAACGAAAAATGACATTAACACAAGCTAAGCAAATACCAAAAGACAGGAAACTACTTATAATTTCTCTCTGTGACACTTGACAGCACAAGCAGTAAGACAAAAGAAGAAGAAGAAGACATTGTTTGTCCTCACTTTGGCAGTGTCTCCTTCCAAGGCTCCACAATGCTCATCTTGCAGCAGGGACAAGATGGAAACTTGCGCTCGGTAGCTAGAAGCAGACGTCCATCTCTCAATCTCTGCCTGTCCACCTCTCTGGCTTCCCTAATGAAGATACGTTAACGGATATTTAGTTGGGTCTCTCTGCATTATTTTGGGTTCTTTATTAATATCCTACCCCAGATGAGGTCACAGGACAGTCCAACATTTTAGAGGGTGGTAAGACTGGGTTTTCCGGCTTTCTGAATCTTTTAACTCTTTGAGTCCCAGGGGGTTTAGCATCACAGGTCCAAGGGGTAGTGAAGGGAGACATAAAATTGGTGCATCATATGTTCATTGGGCTTCTAGGTAGGAACCTATCAACGTATGATGCGTTCCTTGGGACTCAAAGAGTTAACGACCCAAAAGCACATAGAACTGGCCCTAACTCCAGCCCACCTATGTCCCACGAGAGAGTGCAGCCTAGGCCCCGCAAATGTATGCAGCCTATCTACCACCCCCTGAAATATTAGACTGTTCCGTGACCTGTGGATTTCCCCTGTTTTGGGTAGGATATTAATTAAGCATCTTATTTTGTTGTCAAGGACCCTTTACGTACTGGTACAGCTAATTCCCCCCCCCCTTTTTTTTTTTCTACAACACAAAACAATCCAGATCTGAGCAAAGAAACATCTCATACAAAGCATACTGATTTCCAGTCTATGCTACCACTGCCAGATATAGTCACTTACAACAAACCGCACAAGAAAATTAGAAGCCATGAAAACGAGGTGTCTGAGAAGGGCTGCGGGAGTGACTAGAAGAGAATGAGGTCATAAGTGAAAAGGAGGTAGGCAGTTGTACCCCGCCAGGACATCAAGCGATAAACACCCGGTGACACAAAGTGCCACCATGCAGATGAGGATCACCCGTAAAAAGGTCCCAGAAACCCCTTTCAGCTGTTAGGCCATATCTATAGCCCCGCTATACTCAGGGCCCCGGCAAAAACCAGGGTGTGGCTTCAAAATAACACAAAATTACATCCCACGAGGGAACATCTTATAAGAGAAAAGTCAGTATAGAATCAGTTCTTACATACTGTGACGTGACGGGTGGTTTAAATGTTTATAATGGTGAGTAGGGATGTTCCTCTCAACACATTTCCTCCACCAGATTAACCGAACTAAAATCTGAGCTATGTTGCTCTCAGACAAAGTCCTGGATACCCAAGAAAACAGCCATATTGGCTCGTTAAGTATATTAACATTAGCTGAACTTGGTACCCACAAGAGAAGGCAAGGAATTTTAGATGTCTATAGCATTTTACTTAATGAATTATTAGACAGGGCAAATGATTCCTCCGTCATCTACCTTCTCCCGGTGTTATTATTAATAATTAAAGAATTATTATATTATTTGAGCCCCCACCAAATGTACTTCTATCTATCAGTTTAGAAAACAGGTAAGATTGAATACACTTGGAATTTAACAAACGATGTAGTATAAAACTTGACATACAGCTTTATTTTCTAACAATCAGTTAATTGACATACCCAGTTTGTTGTGTTTACACAAACAGTGACTAGCTAAAGTTATGATAGTAATGGGTTGTTTCAGCGCGAGAACAGCACCTGGGATTAGAGTGGTGTGATGAAGGTGATAAAGTATGAACAATTTATGAACATAACTTTCATAGAACCTCTGACAGCCATGAGCACTGTCAAGCTCTTCCTCCTCTTCCAGCTTCTTCCCTGCTTGTTTCTCCTCCTCGCCCCCACCTCGTTCCCAGCTGGCCGAGTCTAACACAATGTAGGCTACTTCATGGACTGATCGTCACATGGGCGCTGTAATCATGGAAACAAACACATACGTGTAGTATCTTGACTTACACTAAGAATACATGTATCAATTAATATAACATATAAGAATAAAATATATCCCATCACTCCTCATATTCCACATTCTCTCCAGTCTAGTCTGAAGGTCTTTTGTCTTACATGGGCGTCACATATCCTGCCTTCCTCTCTCATGCTATGTCATGATAGTTGACTTTCTAAGTCTGTTGTCCGTCATCATTCAGACTTCCAACTGGCTGACATTGATATTACATGACCACGTGGAGCAGGTTACGTGATGAAAACTCAAACAATTTATATGTGCACGCTGTCCTGAATATTATCTTTCAGTGACAGTAAATACTGTACACCCATCATTCTTCCCCTGGGGTTATAAATCCCCTGTTTAGGTGAACACCTTAAGTGAGCACATGGTGGGCACACAAAACGTAACAGCATCCCTGCACATATTTGGGCATACTTTCCCACAGTCCAAACTCATATTTTGGCTGATCATGGAAACAATATAATTACATTTCATTATAGCAAATGTCATTGTTCACATCTTATTTTATTTTATACACATGAAAACATACACTGAAAAACATGTGACACAAACATACAAGAAATAGGAATAGTTTAGCAGTTCCCTAACTGAGATACTGAATACTCACAAAGAACTATTTCAAGCAGAATGTGCAGACAAATTAGGAAAAGGTAGTATAGACTAAGCTTAACTCCCTAACCTATGTATACAAGATTAAAATTAATATTCACCTGGGAACTTTCCAGCACATGCCGAACACGACTCAACCAGGGAGAAAATACTTTTCAACGGTAGGTCTGAGTCTGTGACCTGCTGGCGGCACTATGAGGTAAATCTACGATGCCCGCAGTATAAGTATCAATCTATTGTCCAAATTAAACTCCTCCCTATACTGGGTTCTGCCCAACCCTCAAGATGATGACTTAAGCCCCGCCCCTGAGGTAACTATCAGATCAACTTGGCTAACCAGTGACCTGTCACTCACAGTGAACGGCCTACAGTACGACCTTGACCAAGATAAAACATTCCTAATTGCCAAAACCTGTTCTCCCCAGAATTACACTGACGTGTTAAACTTTAAACTTCTCGTCGCCTCAATGTCTAGAGTTCGCTCAACTCGTGTTAGGTAATCTTTATGACCTACGGTCCAGCTCAGGTGTGATGCTAAGTTCCCCGTTCGCTGGCCTCTACAGTGTGGTCAGGAGATAACATTCTGACACTGGCATGAGAATAGAATTCCTAGCTACAGTGTAAAGTTTTAGGTAATATTACCCAAGGTTGGGTCGCTTTGTCTGGACTAAGGACTGGAAACGTTTAAATCAATACGGTTTAAAGTAACATTTGGTTTAAGGGCATAGTCTCTTGTCTCTCAATAACCAGAAGAACTTATTACAAGTACTAACTTCTGGAATCACTGAGATCGTATCGTGACACATACAAGGAAAGCAAATTAAATGGTTTGCCCACTTAGAATATCTCGTGATACCAAACCATACACAGCAAACAATAAAACAGGAGATGGATGTAGAGTATGAGGTAGATCAAGAACTAGATGCAAAGATAGCATCAGAGAAACTCTGCAACAGCATGATAGTGTAGTGGTCGGGCGGCCAGAAAGCAAAAAGCACAACCTTATTCCCCCCTCCTCCCCAAAAAAAAAGCATGTCGTAAAAGTTGAATAATAAAAGGTGTTCCCTTCAAAGTGCCTTAATGTTTTGGGTTCAGGACAGATCTCCTGGAGATGTTAATCCTCCAGACAGCAATCCTGGAGATGTTAATCTTAAAAAATGCAGTCCCAGGGAGTAAAATAGAAAAAATAAAAATAAGGAAGACCAAACATGAAAGAAACAGAGAAACGAAACTGCCACCTGACCTTAGATACTCCAGACCTTGCTGTAGTTCTGTGTAGTTGATTTCTCCAATGCTGTCTCTGTCCAGGAGTTTGCACAGAAGGTGAAGCTCCACTTTATTAACGGGTGCATCGAGATGTAACATCCCTGAAGTGAAATGTCAACAGCAGATACATACAGACATCATTATATGTCATGCTGAGTGGCACAGGCAGTCTCTCCCTCTCTCTTTCTCTCTCCCACACACACACGCACATACACAATACCCCAATTCCACTACATTGGCATTGGCACCTTTCCATCTTTCCAGACAAAAGTGTTATATTGCCTATGAGGAGGCATGAGACTCACAGCCCATGGCGATGGTGAGTGTGACTAGCAAGACCCGCCCGTGTCAAGAAAAGTCTTCCACAATGATAGCGTGGGATTTCAGGACCATTGTTGTCAACATTTGTGTTTAATCCGTTTCTTTCTTTTCAGACGCTCTGCTCTCATCCTTTCTGCAATCATTTCTTCCTTCAGTCTCATTTCCTTCTCGATATGCCCTTTCCACACAACACGGTTCATGGCATTTTGTTCCCATGAGTCAGCCTCAATACCTGTATCATTTATGTCCCGCTTGCACACATCTTTATACCGTAGTAGAGGCCGGCCTCAACATCTTCTTCCTGTTTTTAATTCACCATAAAGGATGTCCTTAGGGACTCTGCCATCCTCCATTCTCCAGGTGTGACCCAGCCACCTGAGGCTTCGTAGACTAAGCATGGAAAAGACTGTTGTAGTACCTGCTCTTTCCAGTATTTCAGTGTTTTTGATTTTGTCCTGCTACTTAATGCCAAGTATTCTTCTTAAGCATCGTATGTGAAAGCTATTAAGCTTTCCACTAGCACATCTTGTTAAATGTCAAAGAATTTGATCTACCATATAATGGCTTGTCTAGTCAGACATTCATAGGAAATGTCAAAAAACCTTTAGCCTACATGTAGTAGTAATTTAGATGACAACATCCTGTTCAACCCATCTAGGTTACAACCGGAGTTTTTTTTCCTTTTATTTATTGGATATTTATGCTTGTCAATTACTTTTATACACAACTCCTATTTATTTATCACAGATGATTCAGTTTAGTAATAAAATAATATACTATAATAATTTACTTATGAAGTACTCACCAGCCTTAAATTCATCATAAGACACAACACCTTCACCTTGACTATCCATACATTTAAACATTTCCTTAGCAACCATGGACTTCTCTTGCAGCCACTGATGCATATGATTGATAAGACTATCATAGTAGATATCATCTAATTTTAGCTTTTCAGTCTGAAACTCTAGCTTCTCCTGTAAATTAAAAATGGTATAGCACAATAATGAAACAAAATAGTTTAAAAAAAAAAAAAAACCTTCTTCTTCTGCTTTGTAGTTTTTCTTCTATCCTAACGGTGCAGAGCTATTTAACTGGCCGGTCGTGGGCCCCATCTGTATTGAATTAATGATCTGTCTTTACTGGAGCTCAGGCATGTGGCCTGTGATGATTCCTATTACAAATTATCTGGCCCCTAAGTAAACTGAGTTGAATGGCTGTGGTGTAAAGGATAAGAAAACGTTTATTTGTGTATTTCTGGCATAGAAATACTGTGTCCTCACATCTAGTGGCTCATTCCTGAGAATGGGTACAGTATCCATTTCTTCTGCCTTTCATTTAATGAATGAAGGAATCAAGAATTGACATCACTGCACCTATGACAACCCCACATGGGCTCCACCCCTTTCCTCAGTAACCAATAAAAAGTCGACATGCTAATAGTACCAGTTGTAACCTGTTTAAAACTCTGCCTAAGTTTTCCTCTCAGTGTTGTGTATCTTCTGAACCTCTACCCACCCCTTGCTGAATAATACTTTTATTTTGTGGTTTCTGTCTTCTCTATTGCACTGTCCATTTTATCACAGAAAGCCCCAACCAAGCCCACTTTACAGTAAAGTAGCTCCCTGCCTAAATGAGCAGCAGCAGCCATTCCATAAGTCATTTCCTAAAGTAGCATAATCATTCAACAATCCCATGATAGACCCTGTATTCATTTCTTTTTATGTAGCCTCTTCACATCAGTGGTGCATCTACATATGATGCTAGACTATTATTTTGATAGCACCCTGTGGGTGATTAAGTCCACATCACACTGGCCACCTTTACATCCCAGGATATTACCTAGTACCAATTTTAGGCAGGGACAACATGGGAAATAAAGTCCATATTTTAAAATATTTGCCCCAATGCTGATTTGTTGCATATTGCAGCCTAAACTGTATGAGGTAACAAATCCGACCACCTCAACCTCCATTAGTCATCACTTTATAGATGCCTCCTGGGTTATGGTATATTCATGGCTTTTGTTTCTGCAGTATGCAACAGTACTCAGTACCGTCCCTGTTTTAGGTATAATGTAGCTGCTTATGTAGCAGACACTTTAAGGTGAGTACTAGCATCTTTTTTTTAAAAACAATCTTTGGTAAGTAACTGCAGTTTTTTTCTAGGAAAAAAGCCATAGATATTAATATTCTTTCCTATCCCATTTTGGTCCTGGCTGCAAGAGGTGACTGGTATCTGGTACATATTTTTGGTTCTCTTAAAATTTGTTCATATTTTTTAAATGTTTTCCAAAAAGTGATGATTTAAATAGTGCTAAACCAGGAGACATGCCTGGCTCAGAATGAAACATTTAGCTTGGTCAATCTAGGACACACCTTTGACAAAATAAAACAACTTGTTGTTTTAAAAAAAAAGTTAAAAGAAGAATGAGCTGATGCACCTAAGATGTGTGTTTAATCTTCTGGAACTCTGGAGACTTCAACACACAAAAAAGAATTAGAAACAGTGTGACTGATTAGGCAAATGGCCTTATTCAAAAGTTCAGGAAAAGGCTTGAACAATTTTGTGAACAATGAGTGAAAAATAATCTTCTTACCAAAGCCTTTACAGATCTGCTTGAACGTAGTTTCTGTCCTTTCTTTTGTCTTTTCTTGCCACTACCAGCAGACGTAGAAGGCACCCCTGATATTAGAGTACTTGGATCAGCACTTCTTGCATCTACCTTGTCTTCAGTGACTGACTTCAGGGATTGTTCACTTTTGGAGGAACTCTTCCTAACAGGAAAAAAAGGGCAGAATTAACACACATACGTCAATGAGATTGATCCAATTCATATTTTCCATGGAATGCAGAGATACATCATCACAGATGGTGGTGCTGGTGGCGGGGGACGCACCAGAAACAAGACTCAAACTGGTCACTACCTATCAAAAGCTCTCCATGGTTATCATATCCCTATCCAATTCAATAACCCAAAATAACATTTGATAAATCCATAACATTTAATGACAAAATTATTGCATTACGGTAGTTGCTGACCTGGTTGTTGCTGTGTTTGTTATTCGACTTATGCTTCGTTAATATAAATTTCGTAACCTATGATGCCATTCTAATGGTTTGAGATGAATTATGTACGTATTCCATAGTTGTGGATTTCAAGCTGTACGTACAATAGACATGGCCAGTGAAGACACAATGGAAACTATGGCTGTAACAAGGGCATTAGCATGGTTTGGTACTCAAAAGTTCACACACGTATGCTTTCTTAGTGACTTGATGAATATGCTTACAAAAAATCCAAGCTGGATTTATCAGGCAAGAATCGATTGAAATACTAAGCACTTTATGAATAGCTGCCCTAACCTTTATCTTTGTGCCAGGTGATGCGGGTGTTCAAGGGAACAAGCGTGCAGACACTGGGGTTGCTATGGCTGGTCTAGTACTGGACAGAAGTGATGTTATCAATGCCATGCGCTGCACTTACCGTACCGAGGAGCACATCAAAGGACATGACTCCGTATCCCTGTCTAGACTGATAGACATAGGGGTGCAGCCTGGAGCTGCAAGAAACGAACATTTCATTAAGGGGACAAGATGTTTCATTAACCAACACAGAACAGGCGTCATCAGTGGTTTTACACTTGTGGAGTTTTTTGAAGAAGAGATCAGAACACCTATGGATCTGTCCACAGTGCTGTGATGTTAATCCTTTCTTATAAAGACACCTTTTTAGAGGTGCCTAGTTGACCATGTTCTCAGTGCACTTGTTTGCATATCATAGTAAGGAAACCTATGTATTAATATAGGCTCACAAACTTACTTTTTTGTACTCTTCTTTTTCTTCATGGTGAAAACAAAAACGAAACACCAGAAACTGAGTGATGTGGTTACTATGAACGCTTTGCAGTTATTTACGGCAAAGTAACGGTGATTTGTTGGCCAGCTACACGACAAAATCGAAACCTGAAGTGGCTACCAAACATCCAGAGAACAACAACTGTTTTCAGTAAGCATGTGTTTATTATGAACCATAAACATCTTATTATATTTTCACGAACCTGTTTAAAGTTGTAGTGTTATTTACAGATAATACCTAGAACTACTTTAATAAGTGTTGTGAGAAAAAGAGTTAAATTCTTGCATGTGACAACAAATGTACGTTTGGCTGAGAGTTACCGCCATTGCCTTGGTCCATGTTTTAGCAAACGATATCTTTCCCACCGCGGGCTGGACTCGGCATTTTCTCTTACTGTTTGTTTATCTCCATCGTTTCCACTGGAACCATTCTCTTCTGTGTTTATGAACAAGATTGTGGTATAGACAAGACTGAATGGATAATGATGACGGTTCGCTAGTGGGAGCTAGTACAGACACGAGTTTTAGTGATTTGGTCCGGGAACTGCGAGCTAGGGCCGCTGAGGAGGATCAGGATGGAGCTGGCCTCTCAACAAGTACATACAAACTTCTAGAAGTTGATAACGTTTTTGTTTTCTTTAGTAACATTGGGAGGAGGGGTCGGATTATTCGTAGAAAACGTACGATTAACTTATTTAATATTCCTTCTACAGCTAACTGACACTAACAAACGTCGCTGTAGCTTGTAGCAGAAAACGCTGTCACAACAAACTGAAAGTTTCAGTGAAACTGCTTCAAATCTCAACATAACGTTGTTTCTCAGGTTTCTGTTCCGCAGTTCTGTGTACTCTGGTAGAAAACACTCCTTAATCTTCACTTTTAATTTTTAATCCATGAACTAAGAACTTAATCACAGCTGATTTCTGGAGGTGGGAAGGGAAGAAACATCATGTATACTCACAGTATATTATTATTATTATGATATATCATCACTATCGTATCATTGTTATTATTATGACAAACTAATAATGAGTAATGAATATTAATATCAGTATACTATTAAAACTTATTTAAATACTGTGACAAAATCTACTAAATGTATCCTCCCAGAATCTACATCCGTCTTTTCTTTTTGTGCTATATCACACATACATACTGACACAGGGCTCCTTGTATATTCCTCCATTCTTTTCTATCTTTTTGTGTGTATGATATGAATGAAATAAGTCCATCACCTTTGGTCCTTCATCAGAATTCATGTAAGGGCATCCCTGTTTCCTCAACCCATCTAAGTCTCGATACGTACTGTAGGGGTGGATCTAGATAGATACTGTAAAGCAGGGGTTGATATAGATACATACTATAAAGCAGGGGTGGATCTAGATAGATACTGTAAAGCAGGGGTTCATCTAGATATGTACTGTAAAGCAGTGGTTGATCTAAATAAATACTGTATAGCAGGAGTTCATCTAGATATGTACTGTAAAACAGTGGTGGATCTAGATAAATGCTCTAAAGCAGGAGTGAATCTAGATAGATACTGTAAAGCAGGGGTGGATCTACATACTGTAAAGCAGGGGTGGGCAATCTTTATTGGTCCGCGTGCTAATTTTAGAATTACCAGCCTGGTCGCAGGCCATATAGATTCCTTGTGACATGAAATTTTTGTGAGATAATCTTATATTATAATCCCTTGCTATGCTTCTGGTCAGACACACTCACTCTCTGAAGCTTTTCTATATATTCCTAAATGTGTCTGTTCAGGGATGTGTTATCAGAGTCCACTGACAGACACTGTCTCCTATTGTCTGAGTTCGCAACAAGTGTCACTAGCAGGGTCAAACAATTAGAAACGTTTCAGGTTTCACTATTTAGGTTATATGGTTTGTAACCCTGTCTGGTAGACTGGTAGTCTTAGTTTCAGCTTCATAGCAAACAGGTCACCCCATCTGTGCTGTGCTCCTGGGCCAACGAAAAACACACAGAATGTTTATCACAGTCCCTTGTGGAAGGATTGACAGACTGCTGTCTCAGCATATCTAGCATACACTCGCATTAAAGCATACGGTAGCCATCCGAAGTGCTAACACAAATAGTCCGACATTAGAAATGCAGTTCATTATTGATGGTAGCAGAAGTCACCAGCAGTTGCCCACGCTACCAATTTTAATCACATACGGGCACCACCAACATTGCGACAACAGGAATAGCGCCATTTTCTGAATCTACAATTCACACCACCACATTGGTCACAGCCGACAAAACATTCCAAATGAGATCCGCAGCTCACAGTGTACACCATGCATTCAACTCAGAAACTGTATTCAGTCTACAAATGGAGCAAAAATGCATCAGCCACCGTCCAGCAGAAGCAAAAAATGAGCCTTGGCTTCGAATAGTGCCCCTGCCTAGCGTCCATTTTGACCGTTTTTAACCGTGTGTAGTTATGCTGGTTTACATCTCCCGACTTTACCCGACTTTTTTGTTTTGTTTTGCTGTTTAGGTTATCACTTGTTTTCGGAGACTCATATGCAGATTTATTTATTTCTGCATGCGAGCCATGTTTTCTTGTTCTATTTTGTGAGCTTAAGGAGCAGATTATATAGTGATTTTACACTAGCCAATAAAATTGCTGTACTTTTCTTTTTGTTTACCTCATCTTGGGGACTCTGAGATTTCCCGGTAGCTCCCGGGAAAGTCCAATATAATGGGGTAGGGGGGTTCGTGTTAGTCAGTGTTCATTTCACACCCTAACACCCCTATAAATTTGGACTTTCATGATTGTCAGGGTGTTTCTTACACCTGATTGTCAGGATGTTTCTGACACATGATTGTCAGAATGTTTCTGACACATGATTGTCAGGATGTTTCTGACACATGATTGTCAGGATGTTTCTGACATATGATTGTCAGGATGTTTCTGACGCAAGATTGTCAGGATGTTTCCGACACATGATTGTCAGGATGTTTCTGACACATGATTGTTAGGATGTTTCTGACACATGATTGTCAGGATGTTTCTGATATGGTTGTCATGATGTTTCTGACATGGTTGTCATGATGTTTCTGACACATGATTGTCATGGTGTTTCTTACACCTGATTGTCATGATGTTTCTGACACATGATTGTCGAGATTTTGTGATACATGATTGTCAGGATGTTTCTGATACATGATTGTCAGGATGTTTCTGACATATGATTGTCACAGGATGTTTCTAACACATGATTGTCAGGATGTTTCTGACACATGATTGTCAGGAGGTTTCTGTCACATGATTGTCAGGATGTTTCTGTTTTCTTTCTACTTTCTGGTGAAATTATAATATTCTTTTGTTTCCATAGGTTCCCTGTTACTGAGACATAGTATTGGACAGGACACAGTTGAAATGTAAGCACTCAAGTGTGGCAGCTTCAGTACTAGTGTTTTGTCTTACTGATTTGAGAATCATCATGCTCTGTGTCCCACAGCAAATGTCTTAAAATATAGATGCTGTTTATTTATCACACTGATTAAATGCACATTGTTCTCTACCTTTATGCTGGGTTCACTCCTAATTCCAAATTTATTGTGGGATAGTTACAAAAACATAACAAGTCCCATCTACAATGTCTCATACTTCCATTATGGGAACAGAGGTACATGAGTGGAATACCCCTGAAGAATAAACCAGCAACAAGTCCTAATAGCTCTACTAGTCTTCACAACTTGAAGCTGGTAACTTGTGACGTTTATACACAACAACACAAGCAGGACTCACTGATTACATCCGCACAAAGTCCGAACTATCTACCAATCTCCACAACTTGGAGACGGTGGTAACCTTCATCCACACACAACAATGCAAACAAGTCTTACTGATCGTCTGTTTCTAAACAGTTTTATTCAGTCCAATTCCTATCCGTTAAGTTTGTGCAAATCACTTTTCCCACGCTGAACAACGAGCAAATGTTCAGAGCAGTTGTGGGGGACTACAAGTACTGCGATCTGCCCCGAGTCTTGAGTTTCTGCCCCCTCACGTAATATTCATGTTAGGTAATAATCATTAGATAACTTAGGCAGTAATATTCATACGTTCATGTTTCAATCCCACTTACTCTATTATCATTATTGATTGCAAAGACTGTACTTCAAGGAACATTGGGGGATAGTCGAAGAAGAGAAGGGCAAAGAAGAACCTGGAATGACAACATCAAGAAGTGGACAGGACTGAGTTATCATACACTGATTCATCAAGCAGAAGACAGAAAGCTAGAGCTTCCATCAGTACACCATGACCCCCGATGGGTCAAGGGTTATGTTATGTATGTTATTCTATTATCATTATTGCTTTCTTTCTCTCTTTAATATATGTATACAAGTGATACACAACAGTCCACACATTTTTACACATTTTATTTAATCTAACCTGATTTCTTCTTCTTCTTTTCTGTTCTCTGCTCCTGAAATGTCTCCTGGCAACGGAAGGAAAAGATCTCAGGAACGGGCCTTCTATTCGCTTTATATAAAGTAGTTTTCAGTACAAGTACTTTTCAATAATTCATAAATGGTCCTCAGAATGTCTGCTTTGTCTAGTAAGAGTGTTTCTGTAGCTATCGCTTCTGTAGCCCCAAAACAGTAGTAATTGTTATTGCATTTACATATATAATCAGTGCATGTGATATGTTCATTCAAAAAAAAATTTTTTGTTGGTTCTTTAATATATCATTGAACGTTTGTGTGTTTTTTGTTTTATCAGATTTCTCCTATCTCCTCTTGCTCATTCCTAGTTATTAATTTTCATCTTTTTCATCATACACCCATCACATGTCTAGGTATTTTATAAGCTTTTTATGACGTGTTATATCTGCACTTATTTTCCCTGGGGGAAAAATGTGCCACTACACACATTTGTATGCAGACTGTTGGTTATTTGCCTCTCAGGCAGATACACTTCCACTTTGAAGGAAAACCCCTAATTAGTCGACTCTTACAGCATACTCGAAAGGGAGGCAGTGGGTCTATTCCTATTCCCCCCCCCCCCCTCTTCCCACACAAGTACCCCAGAACCCGCAAGGGGAAGCAAAGTAACATCTCAGCTGATTAGTATTTGTTGTTATTTATTTCTTAATTCTTGTTTTTAACTGTCCATAGCACGTCAGCAGGTGATACCAGAAGTGCTTCCCAGACCTTGACACAGGGCATGCGGACAATGATTGGAGGAGACAGGCACATTCAACACATGTAAGTCCCCAGTGTGTTTTCAGGATGCTTTTAATATAAGCCGTACCCCAAAAAATTAGACCCGATTGTCAGCTAGAATGAGAGACTTGGTGCAGAATGGCCAATCAGAGTACAGATACCACTGGCGCACACTTGCTAATGAATGGCTTCAGACCCAAATTTGGGATTTACAGATCATGTCAATGTTCCAGAAAAGGAGGATGTGAATGTTTTTGAAAAAATGTAGAAGTTTATACATGAATAAATGTAGATTTTTGTGTCTGAAACAAATAAGACATCAACCTAAAATAAGCCCTTGTGGTTCTCAGCCTTCCTAATGTGGCAACCCTCTAATACAGTTCCTCATGTTGTGGCAACCCCCAACCTTACAGTTATTTTCGTGCTATATAAGCAGTGAATATGCCTTTTCTGATGGTTTTTGGCAGCCCCCAGTGAAAGGGTCAATCGACCCACAAAAAGGTCACGACCCCAGGTTGACAACCGCTGCCCTGGTATGTTTTGTGAAACAAAAATTAATATAAGACCTGGGTCTTATTTTCTACATAGTTCATGGCGTTTTACATCCCACTGTGTGGACAGATAAAAGTAAGACTGAAAACAAAAACAGATTGAAACAGCATAGCAGAGGACTGGCTCGTAAACAGAATCATGTCTTGAAAATTGAACTGTGTCCAAATCAAACATCCCTGTGGTTTAGAAATAATGAATGAAAGACAGTGACAGTGGATGAAACCAACCATAAACATGGCAGCAGACTACATAATGAGGCCTAAAAAAAACAAAGAACAGGCTGATATGTAATTGAAATTATATGATATTCACCTAAATTATCCTCCAATTCTCTACTACTTTCTATGAGTGCCAGTCAGTGTATGTTAGTTTAATGAAAGTTTTGTAGTGAAAACACACAGTTCAGAAGATTAATTTCCTCAAGTTAAATGATGAAGTCAGAGTGCATCTACCAGAGTTGCAAAAAAAAACAACCAACTCCACGCAAATAAGCCAGTAAATTGGATGTACACTCAAAACTCAGGCCCTCAAACAAAGCCAGAGTCCAAATAGACAGACAACCAGGACTTTCCGCCAGTGCTTACAGTGGTGAACAAATAAGAAGAAGAAGTGGTAAAGTGGAGGGATAGGCTATCTTGTTCTGGTGAGATGAAAAAATAAAGTAGATAGACAAAGCATCCTGGGTTGTAATCTGTTTAGGGGCACCATTTTGTAGGGGGGGGGGGGTTGGGGAACCCACTGCTCCCTAATAAGGAGCAGCCATGGTGAGGTGACTAGATGCTCCTCTGCAGATCAGAAAGTAGTGGGTTCGGAAACTAATGGAGCCAGACTTTTTTTTTTTCAAAAAATAACTTTGCTTGCAGCTCGACCCAGCCTTAAGTGCGCACCCAATTAAAGTCCTTGGAAGTAAAGGCCACGTCACCCACCGACTGCCAATTGGTCTATAGAATATAGGTCTAGCCCTATATGCCTAGTACCCCTGAGGGTGTGGAAGAGGGTCTATTTCTTTTACTGGTCGCTAACAAGCATGTTAGAAAAGGGGTGTTTCCTTCGAGGTTGGGGTGTATCTGTCTGAGAGCCAAGGAACCAACAATCTGCATACATACATCAGATCTGTAAAATGGATGTGCATGCAGAATTAAAGTTCTGTAACTAACAAGGCCAAAGTCCAGAAGTGGATGAACAACCAGGACCTGCCACCGGAGTTTACAGCCGTTGAAATGTGAAGAAGAGTATTAGTGACTGAATCAGATACTAACAGTCTGCATGTGTCTGCATGTGTACAGAAACCTTGCCGAGGACAGTGATGAGAATGGCATCAGCGTCTACAGTCCGGAAATAGAGGTTTATGTGGCTCCATCTGCTGGCAGCCTTGCAGAGAAATCTTCTGGCAGCAACAAGGTAAAAATATGTACGGTATTGTTAGACTGTTTAGCACAACACAGAAGGTATTGTACTGTTGGGGCTTTTGTGATTAAGTTAAATTGTGTATTGTCTCCACAGGGAAGGTTCACCACAGTGTACCCATTTCTGTTTTTGGGAGTATATTTTGACGGGGCTACAAATGAAAACTTTAAAAGTGTGATGGAAGTCACAACAACTATGTCATTGTCTTGTAGCCTATCAGCATTGTTGTTAAGGATGTCAAGAGTACCAAACACTTGACATCCTAGTGCAGGTGAGCATGAACTGAGCATCTTGAGAAGAAACACGCTAAACATACATGATGGCAACAGAGGTGCAGAAATATCATGCTCTAATTATGGAAGACTTCTTTTAATGCGAGTGGGTCTTGCTAGTCACACTCACTGTCACTATGGGCTGAGATTCTGGTGCCCCCCTGTAGTACCATATAACACTCGTCTCGACAAAATGGAAAGGTGTCAGCAGCAATGTAGCCAAGTGTTTCCCAACTTTTTTTTTTTTTTTTTTTTTTACATCTGCAACCCACCAAAAACAGGAGATTTATTTCACTGCCCACCTGACAGCTAGTCAGTCACAGCTAACAGAATTAAAGCATACAGTGCCTCACTCACTTTGCAGGAATCAAATAGAGGCTACATGAGTTATTGTCCAGATTCTCAGCCCACACTAGACTGCAGGTTACGTAATTGTCAGGTACGTAAAAGGCCATTTTCTGTGCCTTCTGGCGTGTTGGGCATATAGGGCTAGACCTGTATTTTATTGAACAGTCAGCACTTGGTTGATGATGTGGTCAGTATCACACACACCATCTTTACTTCCCAGGGCTTTTACCTGGTACCCAGGGCTTGTACCCGGTGCCCAGGGCTTGAACCTGGTACCCAGGGCTTGTACCTGGTGCCCAGGGCTTGTACCTGGTGCCCAGGGCTTGTACCTGGTTCCCAGGGCTTGTACCCAGTACCCAGGGCTTGTACCCGGTACCCAGGGCTTGTACCCGGTGCCCAGGGCTTGTACCTGGTGCCCAGGGCTTGTACCTGGTACCCAGGGCTTGCACCTGGTACCCAGGGCTTGTACCCGGTACCCAGGGCTTGTACCCGGTACCCAGGGCTTGTACCCGGTACCCAGGGCTTGTACCCGGTACCCAGGGCTTGTACCCGGTACCCAGGGCTTGTACCCGGTACACAGGGCTTGTACCCGGTACCCAGGGCTTGTACCCGGTACCCAGGGCTTGTACCCGGTACCCAGGGCTTGTACCTGGTGCCCAGGGCTTGTACCTGGTGCCCAGGGCTTGTACCTGGTACCCACTCAAAGCTGGGTTGATCTGAGAGCCAACGTCATTTTGAAAAAAAAGTCCAGCTTTGTCAGTCAGGTCCTGAAACCATGAGCTTCGGTTATATGCAGGTGAGGGTAATGGTCAGGTGCTGTAATATAACTTGTTTTATGTGGTTGAACACGATTTCTAGGATTTGTGCCTGTGTGATTCTCATTCATGAGGTGTTAAATCCTACAGACTGCAATAGTGGAAGAGAAAAACTGCCAGCCCTACCATGTTATATAAATAGGCAAACACCTTTATCGGCCCGCCTAGATTTGGTGACTGCCCACTGGTTGAAGAACACTGCTATTCTAGCCTATTGTTCTCAGTGCCCTCAAGAATGTATTCATTTACAATGTTGCACTTGTCATTGTTTCTCTTAGAGTTTAAATCAGAACATTGTTTTATTTTCAGGTGAAAATAACATCAGTGGTCAACCATGTGTGGGATCTGAAGTACTACCATGGAAACTTGGTGGCAGTTCATCGGGATGCTGTGTACATGGCTTATGTTATTCAAGGTGGTGCTAAGGGTGGGTTTGGATCTTAGTGATAATAGCAGCAGATCATCCTTGACATGTCGCAGGTCCTTTGCAGAACATTGCTCTCATCGTGGTCTGCCTGAAAGAAACTGGGTCTCTCACCAGCCATCCCCTTTGTGCACTTTTCTATCCAAGGGGTGCTACTTATAACCTGTGCCCATCTTTGTGCTGGTCGACCCCTGCCCCTCTTTCCTGGTACCATGCCTTTTGCTATTCTTTCCAATTCACCATAACTTGATATGGCCAAAATATGTCAGTTTCCGAAACAAGATGCAACTCGTTTTTGGTGTTAAGATATTTTAAACTGTCAGTATATCTCTTCCTTTTGATCCATGGTTTGCTGAGAATCTTTGTTTAGTATTCAGCTCAGAGACCCCTATTTTCTTCCTTAATGACTGTAAGGCAGTCTCTGACTCACCTCCATAGTTGCAGCAGGGAAGATGCATACCCTCAGAATTTTGACTTCTATTTCCTTGCTGGTGCTTAACCAGAGACTTTTAATGCTGTTAATCTTAAATTTAAGAGTTATTATGTATACATTTGCTTTGAAGCATTTTCATTGTGCCACTTTGTAATTGAATGTGACCTCTTCAGTAGAAAATATAAGATAGCAGTTTGTTTCCCCCTTCAGGCAAAAACAGCGGCAATGTACGTGTGATATCACGTAAAAGTGCCCACCGTGTACTGCTGAAAGACTTTGCTGGATCTGTTGTGGACATCGCCTTTGCCCTGTCGAGTGACATCTACCTGGCTGCGGCCGACGAGAGTGGCAGTGTTCATGTTTATTACTTCACCATGGAGGGCGACAGCATTGTGTATCCTTTCTTAAGTTCTCTGCAGAGAGTGTTTGTGTGGATTTTTTGCTTTGTAGTTTATTTGACTTTAAAGAAATGTTATTGTAAGTAGACCACAAACAAGATGGAAAGAGAACTGCATAGAAACTACAAAAGCACAATCTGTCTATGGTCGAGGATGCCAGAAGAGCAAGAAGCAGAAACATATCTCTCCCTCGACACCCAAAACTGTAAATGAAGTGAATAAAAAGTAGAAGTAGTAGTAGTTGCATTTGCTGCTAGTTTTTCATGTTCTTTTTATCCTCCATAATCTTACTGTATTCTCTAATGAAGACCCTCAGCCAACTCAAATGCACTTGTTCATGAATGGTTGGATTGTACAGCTAAGTGTTCACAACTAGTCAATGCTTTAAGGTCTTTACCCATCTCACCCCGAAGATTCTTTTTTTAAAAACAAAATGTAGAATCATCGCCCCCCCCCCCCCCCCCCCCCCCCCCATAATTATTTTAATTTTAATTGCACAAATTATTTTTATTAATTATTAATAGCATATTCATTCCAACATTAAGCTACCAGTGCCAAACATGGACACTATCTAAAGCCCATATACACAAAATTACCACCTGGGAGATGAGATGCCTGAGAAAAGCAGCCAACCTAACCATCCGAGATCGAGTGAATAATGAAACTATCAGGCAAATTGTGGGAACGACACCTTGTACTAGATTCATCGAGAAACAGCAGATGAAGTGGTTTGGTCATCTAGTTAGAATGCAGCAAGATCAGTTACCATCACAAGCACTACATCTCAGAAGATCAGCTACAAGAGCAAGAGGACGGCCACGAAAAACATTGATCGACAACATTAAAGACACTCTACGCCTTCACAGCATGACAATAGCCAGTGGCAGCCAACGTGCACTGGATCGCAAATCATTTTTCCCCCATGACACTTAACAACAGAAGTGGTTTATGATGATAATGACAAATTGTTTTAAAAATTTGTACATTTTCTGATTTAAAAATAAAAACAGAGTTGGAAAAATCCGTAATTACTAGTGGAACTGAGAACTAAACGATTTATTCACTTGGGTCTAAACAACAGTTTTTTTATGACTGACACTGTCACCCTGTTGCTGTGCAACCTCTGAAAGCTAAAGGCAAATTATGACGTGAAAATGACTTAAAAAATTTATTTTGCAAGAAAACCCCTGTAAATGTATGTTGTTGTTGGTGTAAATCATATCTGGCCCTTCTAAATACTGCGCAGGTGCAAACAGTACCAAAACTAATAGACATAGCAGGGACTGGCCACAACAGAGAAGTGGCTACTTAAGGATTTGTAACAGATGACAGCACCGATATATTGGTGTCTGTGGTAAAAAGGTTGAAGAACATTTTCTTTTTTGGTGACAAACTTTTTTCTTAGTATTCACAGGCTGTAAACTCCATTTATGATTGTTTGTCCAGTTTCGGACTACAGTCTTATTCCAGAACTTGAGTTTTGCCTGCACATTCGTTTTACAGATCTGGCTTATTTATGTGCAGATTGTTGGTTCCTCACCTCTCAGGCAGATGCAGTACAACTTTCAAGGAAACGCCACTAATTAGACAGATTTTAGGACATACTTGTTGCAGATCTGTTCTCTCTCTCTCTCTCTCTCTCTCTCTCTCTCTCTCTCTCTCTCTCTCTCTCTCTCTCTCTCTCTCTCTCTCTCTCTCTCTCTCTCTCTCTCTCTCTCTCTCTCTCTCTCTCTCTCTCTCTCTCTCTCTCACATACACACACATACACACCCACCCACACACGTACACATGCATGCACACCCACACATACACACACACACACCTACGCACATACATACATACATACACACATGTATATACACACACACACACACTGAGTTGAGCTCCCAGAACCTACAAGGTTAACTGATAAACATAACCTGGTCATCTCTGCAGGACAATTCTTGTGGCTCATGGGCTGTGTCAGTATTTCTGCCTCTTAGACACTGGTGTCTGTGGTTGTTGTTTTCCTATTGCATGTTCAGATCGAACCCAATACTACACATCAAAGCTGACAGCGACAGCATGGAGCCAGACAGGACTTTGACCAGGATCATCTGGTGTCCTTACATGCCTGAAGACGACAACGAAGACGGGCCAGATCCAGCAAAGATGCTGGTTCTTCTACATGGGGCTCAGGTAAGTCCCAGGTTTCTCTTTGTTTGTTCAGGGGCACCATTTTGAGGGGTCTTTTGGGGAGGGGGGGGGGAGAATATACCCACTGCAGGGCTGTTACCTTTGAAGTTGGAGTCCACCTACCTGAGAGGCCAGGAACCAGCAGTCTGCATACAAGTAAGTCAGATCTGTAAAATGTATGTGCACTCAAAACAAGACCAGTTCTGGAACAAGATCAAAGCCAAGAAATGGACGAACCACCAGAACTTTCTGCAGAAGTTTGCTGTCAGGGAATGCTAAAAAGAAGAAGTTCCAAGACACTGTGTGGATCCGAGTTCTTTACTCTGTTTCTGAGCCCTCTTGAAGACCACCAGTTGTGACTGGTATTTCACATGTGTTAACATTTAGGTTAGGTTGTGACCCTGAAAACGTCAGGCATTCGTCAGAGCAAGTTGCATCAGTCGGAGTAAGTCGCATCTGTTGAAGTAAGTCGGAGTAAGTCGCATCTGTCGGAGTAAGTCGCATCCGTCGGAGTAAGTCGCATCTGTTGAAGTAAGTAGCATCAGTCCAAGTAAGTCTCATCAGTTGGAGTAAGTCGCATCTGTTAAAGTAAGTCACATCTGTCGGAGTGAGTCGCATCAGTCGGAGTAAGTTACATCGGTTGGAGTAAGTCTACTTTAGAGGCTTTCCTCCTCTTCCAGCACTAAAATATCACTACTGCTGAAACTATCTTGTGTATATACGAAGAGGGCAGGGAAAAATGTGTGAATATGGTTGTTTGTCGCAAGTTTTAAATTGTAGGTTACACAGAGTTAACAGACACAAGCATGTTTAAACTGATGCAAGTGAAATGACTAGAACAGGCATGTTCCAGGACTGAAACAAATAATTAGAACAGCTGCAATCCAAGACAAAACAATGTAAAATGATTAGAACAGCTACCTTCCAGGACAGAACAAAGTAAAATGATTAGATAAGCTGCAATCTAAGACAAAACAAAGTAAAATGATTAGAACAGCTACCTTCCAGGACAGAACAAAGTAAAATGATTAGATAAGCTGCAATCTAAGACAAAACAAAGTAAAATGATTAGAACAGCTACCTTCCAGGACAGAACAAAGTAAAATGATTAGAACAGCCACCTTCCAGGACAGAACAAAGTAAAATGATTAGAACAGCTACCTTCCAGGACAGAACAAAGTAAAATGATTAGAACAGCTACCTTCCAGGACAGAACAAAGTAAAATGATTAGAACAGCTACCTTCCAGGACAGAACAAAGTAAAATGACTAGAACAGCTACCTTCCAGGACAGAACAAAGTAAAATGACTAGAACAGCTACCTTCCAGGACAGAACAAAGTAAAATGATTAGAACAGCTACCTTCCAAGACAGAACAAAGTAAAATGATTAGAACAGCTACCTTCCAGGACAGAACAAAGTAAAATGATTAGAACAGCTACCTTCCAGGACAGAACAAAGTAAAATGACTAGAACAGCTACCTTCCAGGACAGAACAAAGTAAAATGATTAGAACAGCTACCTTCCAGGACAGAACAAAGTAAAATGACTAGAACAGCTACCTTCCAGGACAGAACAAAGTAAAATGACTAGAACAGCTACCTTCCAGGACAGAACAAAGTAAAATGACTAGATAAGCTGCAATCTAAGACAAAACAATGTAAAATGACTAGAACAGCTACATTTCAGGACAGAAAGGAGTAAGATGTCTAGAACACCTCTGCTGAAACTAGTTTAGTAGTTATATAGATTTCCTATTTGAACAGATGTTATAATTTTGAGAAGATAAAGTAAAGACCATTTGCAGCAACAACAGTGGTATTTGTAAACAGTCTGTTATGTTTGCTATTTACTGTTTGTGTATGTATTTGTTTCATGCTGCTAAACTTACATTATATATCATACTATGACACTTGCAGAACACTTACAGTTTCTTGGCTGGCCAAATGCATCATCCAGATGTTCTAGAACAGTCTTAGGCCCAAAACAGCATATCACAAATAGTGGAAAGAGACTGTCATCATTTTATTGGCCACTTTTTTAGAAGAAAGTAGTCCAGATATTTTAAAAGAGGCTACAGCCCAAAACAGCTTATCATCAATATCGGAAAGAGTCATAATTTTGTTGGCCACATCATGAGAAAAAAGACACTGGAACATGTGACGACTGGAAAGATTTATAGATTGAGAGATAGAGGAAGATAATGTGAGATTGTTCTTGACAGCCTTTTGTCATGACATGTAAAGGAGTCAGCACATAAACTGACTTACACATGCTGTTGGAGAGATTGTAAGTTAAAGGTAAAGGTAAATTCAGGAGACGTGAACCAGTGTCATTGCACACGGTTATATACCATAAGTGCTCTGCCACCAGTACGGACAGCTGATAAGAATTGTCTGCCTGTGTCGCAGTTCGCACGTAACTCTGTAGCTACAGCAACATTCCTTCATTTACCCCAGAGTATCACTCTGGTACCCTATTTCCTAGAGGCTGGGTGAACTCCATGAGCCGCCCGCTTTCGAACACCGACCGTGGGCTGCAGTGAGTCGCAGCTGGATTTGAAAGCGAGCTTCTTATCGACTGCGCTAACGGGGCGGGGCTCCTAGGACAGGACAATGTAAAAATGACTAGGGAAGTTGCAAGATTGCAAGTTGTGGGGAGGAAAGTTCACCCACTGCACTAAGCGAAGTATTTGATAATGTTGTGATGATTGATGTTGACACTTCTGATATGTTTTCACAGGCTGAGGTTTGGAATGTTGACATTGTCTTCAATAAGTTTGGAAGTCATGTGGTTACATCCAAGACAGTCAACTCAGGAGTTATGTGCATAGAGCCTCATGAGCCAGGGATGGTAAGATCATACACATGTTTTTCTGTTCTTTTTTCCCTTTTATGATTCTTGGCTTAAACCTCTGGGGGAAAGTTCTGATTGTTTGTCCACTTCTTGATTTTGGTCTTGTTCCAGAACTTGAGTTTTGTGTGCTCATCCACAGATCTGACTTATCTGATATGCAGGATGTTGGTTCCTTGCCTTACAGGCCAATGCACTCTGACCTCAAAGGAAATACTGCTGATAAGACACCTTTTATAATGTCTGTTGGGGGGGGGGGGGGGCATTAGGTCTATTCTTTATTCTTTAACATCCCCCCCCCCCCCCACCCCAGGCAAAATGGGGATCTGCAACAAACTTTTTGTCGGTGGTGCAATAATGTAGCTGCTGCTGCTTCTTATAGTCCGTTCCATGTGACTGAGTTGAGTCAAGAATTGACATCACAACACTTGGGGCATTCCCATGTGTGCTCTGTCCTCATCTTCAGCCGCCAACATTCTGGTTAAAAGTCCATCTTGCCTTTCCTCTGAGTGCAGTCAGCCGGCCAGAGCCTCTGGTTACACCCAGGTGCCTCATTCTCTCCAGGCCATAATAATCTTCTTTCTCTACTGATTCTGTTGCTTGTTCCCATAGGGCCTTGACCACATCTGCCTTGTCATGTATCAATTCACCACCCAGTGGTGGGGATTCAGCCAGTTTGTCTGCCTATTCATTACCCACCACACATGCATAGCCTGGAGAAAAGATCCAATGTATGCTCACCACCCGTGACCTTTCCAGTGAAGCTAGCCACTCTTTGCGATTTGCAAATGGAAAACAAAAAAATTGCCATAATCTCACTGTAGAAGAGGAGCTAATCAAGAATTGACATCGCAGCAGTCAGCTTGTTTCTGCATCTGCTGTCCCTTTCATCAGCAGCCAAAGATGAGTTACCATACTGATGGTGCCAAATGCAAAAAGTCTGCCTCTCTTGTCATTTTTTCAGTTTTTCACCCGGTACTATTTAGCTTTTTCATCCCGTCTCGTCATGTGTGAGATTGCGCATGGAATTCCCTTGGACAGTCCTATAGTCTTGGGAGGGAGGGGGGGAGGGCTAGTCTTAGTTTCTGTTTATTTAACACTAAAACTCCTATATTTTAGGCATTTCATGTGTTGCTTCTTTTCAGCATTATCGTTAATTTCCATTGTGCGTTACTTTTTGTTTGTGCCTCGCACTCACTCTGCCCTGTGTGGAAGTGCTATTCTTAGTGATTTGGCCTTCGCCATGAATTTTCTTGACCTGTCATTATTCCTCCATCCTTAACCTCGACCCTTGAACGGTCATTCACAGAAAAGACAGTTGGGAAGAAAAGAAAGCTGTGCCCTTTCAGCTGGGAGAAGCCACAACAATTTTTGGCACGTTATATGTGCACGGCAAATGAAGGCATGTCATAAGACCCCTAGACTGTAGGACTGTCCCGGGGAATCCCCTACAAAATCTTGCACCTGGCGAGATGGGAGGAAAAGCTGAATAGTACCTTTTTTCCTTGCCCTGCCACGTCATGGGCCTAGCAAGCCGGCAGTGGTGTAGTTAACCTCTGCTACACAAGAAAGAATTAATTATAGGACAGGTACCAGAATTAAAGAGAAAGTTGAAATAACACAGTGTCTGAAATGCACTGTTAGACAAAGAATGAAAATGTTCAGCCATCTAGTGAGAATGTAGTCAGGCCAAACAGCATATGAGAATTTTTTGTTTTTTTTTACAGTAGAACATCAGGGAGAAAAGTGAGGAGGACATTAGAAAAGAGATGGATAAATGATGTAGCTGAAACCTGCAGAAAGATGAACAAATCCATCATGCAAGCCACCTGAGAAGCGCAAGACAAATACAGAAAATCTCACTGGGCTACAACCTGGTATCAGTGATATAGCAAAAGAAGAATTTGAAAACTGTCCAGACCCTGTGCTAAATACCTGCTGAATCAGTGTTTTAGCATATGGATGCCCTATTTGTTCCTGTCCACTTGATTCCACAGTCTTCACCATGTTCTCTTCATCAGAAAGTAGCTCGCTGCCCAGAGCAACAGTAGAAGAGGAAAGACTTAGAAAGTAAACAAGTAGAGGACCCTTTTCCACACCTTCATTTGTATTGGGCTTTAATGGCTAGACCTATATTTTATAGACTAACTAGCACTGGGTGGGTGATGTGGTCAAAATCACGATAGCCGCCTTTCCTTCCCAGGACTGTACCTGGTACCCATTTAAGGCAGGGTCAAACTGGGAGCTAATGTCATTTTTGAAAAAAATTCCAACTCAGACAGGGCTCGAACCCATGACCTTTAGATTTGCAGTCGAGCATCTAGATGCTACACCACGGCAGCCCTGAAAGACAATTCTTCTTCTTCTTCTTCAGCAGTCCTAGCACTTGAGATTCATTGCTGCAGATATCACCCGCCTCCATTCATCTCTCTGGTTGGCCTTCTCTTTTCAGTTGGTGACACCAGATGTTTTCAGGCCTGTCTGGATATTATCTCTCCATCATCTTCTTGGTCCGCCTCGTGGTCTACGACCATTCATGTCCCTTGTGTATACAGTTTCACTTCTCTGTCATTTGACATTCTCTCAATATGCCCCAACCATGCCTCGAAAGACAATAAATACATTAATTAAGCTTATGCCTCTGTGACGTTAATTTGTTACGTTTTGTTTATTGCTATATAAAAATGTCTGAATATTCCTTCTCCAGTCTGTTGTGAACGCAGCCTTTGCCCCAGATGGGTCAGCAGTAGCTGTGGCCTACACATCAGGGATTGTGAAATTCTTCTTGGTTGATCTGTATGGAGAGGAAACGGACACAGCGTGAGTACAGTCATCATTCTGACTGTTTTGCTACTGTTTGTATAAACTGCACTCCAGAAGATTACAAATATCTTACTTGGCTTGCTCTGCGGAAAAAAAAAATAAAAAAACAAACTGTCATGTTCATCCAGCATTCCGAAAGGGGGAGATTTAGGTTATAATTATGACTAGGTTATGTGCACCTTATAAAATGGCTTAGCATTACTGGCCACCAAGTAGCCATGAATAGGACTCGTGCAGTGCTGATGCAATCAAAGGAGACAACCCAAATACTGTCCTGACCGGCGTCAAAGTCTACTGGCAAGCCACCTGGTCGCTGATAAAAAAAAATCTTACAAATAAAATTATCTTATAATTAAATTTATCTTATTCTCCGTATGGGATCCAGTTCCTGTTTTGGCGAAGCTAGAATAGACTCACTGCCCCCCCTGACAAACATTTTTGTAAGAGTCGACTAATTAGGTATGATTCCTTCGAAGTCGGGCTACATCTGCCTGAGAGACGAGGAACCAACAGCCTGCATGCAAATAAGCCATATCTGTAAAATAGATGTGTATTCAAAACTCAGGTTCTGGAACAAAGTTACAAAACAACCAGAACTTTCCATCTGCGTTCACAGCTGGTGAACACAGAGAAATAGAAAAAGAAGTTGGCATATAATAAAAAGTATCCAATAGTTTATTCATATAACTGAAAGTTTCATATAATTGAAAGTATTTTGTAATTAAAAACATACTTAATTAAATAAAAATATACTTAATTAAATAAAAATATACTTAATTAAATAAAAACATACTTAATTAAATAAAAATATACTTAATTAAATAAAAACATACTTAATTAAATAAAAATATACTTAATTAAATAAAAATATACTTAATTAAATAAAAATATACTTAATTAAATAAAAATATACTTAAATAAATAAAAATATACTTAATTAAATAAAAATAATACTTAATTAAATAAAAATATACTTAATTAAATAAAAATATACTTAATTATAATAAAAATATACTTAATTAAATAAAAATATACTTAATTAAAAAAAATATACTAATTAAATAATAATATACTTAATAATAAAAAAATATACTTAATTAAATAAAAATAATACTTAATTAAATAAAAATATACTTAATTAAATAAAAATATACTTAATTAAATAAAAATATACTTAATAAAATAAAAATATACTAATTAAATAAAAATAATACTTATTAAATAAAATATATAATAATTAATAAAAATAATACTTAATTAAATAAAAATATACTTATTAAATAATAATATACTTAATTAAATAAAAAATATACTTAATAAAATAAAAATACACTTAATTAAATAAAAATATACTTAATTAAATAACTAAAATACTTAATTAAATAAAAATATACTTAATTAAATAAAAATATACTTAATTATAATAAAAATATACTTAATTATATAAAAATATACTTAATTAAATAATAATATAACTTAATTAATATAAAAAATATATAATAAATTACTAAAAAAATATACTTAATTAAATAAAAATATACTAATAATAAAAATATACTTAATAAAAATAAAAATATACTTAAAATAATAAAAATATACTTAATAATAAATATAATAATAATACTTAATTAAATATATCTAAATATACTTAATTATAATATAAAATATACTTAATTAAATAAAAATAATACTTAATTATAATAAATAAATATACTTAATTAAATACTAATATAATAATTAAATAAAAATATACTTAATTAAATAAAAATATACTTAATTATAATAATAATATACTTAATTAAATAATAATAATATTAATAAAAATAAAATATAATAATTAAATAAAAATATACTTAATAAATAAAAATATACTTAAATAAAATAATATATACTTAATTAAATAAAAATATACTTAATTAAATAAAAATATACTTAATTAAATAAAAATATACTTAATAATAAATAATAAAATATACTTAATTAAATAAAAAATATACTTAATTAAATAAAAATATACTTAATTAAATAAAAATATACTTAATTAAATAAAAATATACTTAATTAAATAAAAATATACTTAATTAAATAAAAATATACTTAATTAAATAAAAATATACTTAATTAAAAAAAATATACTTAATTAAATAAAAATATACTTAATTAAAATTACCTGTAACTGAAAGTTGTTGCATGACCGAGAAGTTGAGCAAAAATGTTGTGTGACCGATGTGTTTTAGAATTGAAAGTTTTTTATAACTGAAAGTACCTAATAAATGAAAGTACATTGTAAATGAAAGTATTTTATAACTGAAAATACATTATAAATGAAAGAACCTTATAACTGAAAGTTCCTTATACAAAGTCATAAGTCACTCTGACTGAATGTTAGAACAAGAGACCTGAAGCATTTGATGGGCATGGTCAATTATAGAGCACTGTATTTTAGAGCTTGAACAGTCAAATTAGGCAGAGCATGAGTCAGTAGTGTGGCTTCTAAACAGAATAATGCAGATATCTTTCACTACCAAATAACAGGTTCTTGGAAAAAGCTTATGAAAGTGTAGGGAACTAAATCCACTGAACTGTAACTAAGCAGCCTAACGAAGTTGGCAAGGGGACAAAACAGACACACAGGAGCGATCAGACCTTTCGACAACAGCCTTTAATGACAGAAACCACAACAACAAGGGAATAGACTGCGGGAGATACTCTCCCCTTTGTTGTTGTGCTTTTTGTTGATTAAGGCTGCTGCCGAAATGTCATTATTCTTGTGCATAGTGTTGTGTCTCCTACTCAATTCCATGCAGTTTTGTTAGTCAGAGTTCAGTGAATTAATTTCTTTATACTAGCTTATCTGCAGTGCAGAGGCGCAGATAGATCATTATGGTCTAAGGTGAATGGCGCTGCGAGGAGTTACCAGGGGATTAGGCCGTGGCTGAACACTCAGGGGATGGATGAGACATGTATAATCAGACAGTTACTGGTACCATCTGCAGTCACCCCTGTTTCTGTCACTGAGGACAGTATAAAAAAGTAAAGCCAACTGTAAGAAAGAGACTTGTGGTTTTTCTGTAGACATGGGATGATAAGAGATGTGTTAGAGAACATTGTAATGGCTGAAGATTATAGTAGTAGGTGACTGCAATAACTTAACTAATGTACAAAAATTGTAATAAGAAAATATTTCACAACACAGTCTATTTCATGAAAACCTTACATTTACATTAAAAATATATTTCCAAGATAATGCCATTGTTATAATTTGTAAGTAACAATAATAAAACAAACTTAATAAGACCAGTTTGCATGACCCACCTTCAGACTGCAACCAACACGCCAGTGTGTCACAACACAGTTTTGAAATCTCTAGCCTATGCCATCTGGCAAGGCACACAGTATGTATACATATAGTCTTCATATGGTTCAACTTGAAAAATATTTTTGTTAAATTTGAAGTGACTTTGATTGTTGAACTGATCTCAACTCTTATTTGTTTTGCAAGTCGAGACAGTGTTAATTCAGCTGTGACTTTGCCTTTCAGTTGTATGCATGATTGGAGCCCTCATGATGGACACCCTGTCACCAGTCTCTACTTCCTCGATGACCATAAGCACCCAGGGGTTGAGTATGTGCATAGTTTTGTGTGTGTGATTTTGTTATAGTTAACTTAATCACCCAGGGGTTGAGTATGTGCATTGTTTTGTGGTTTTTTTGTGTGGTTATTGTTAACTTAAGAACTCAGGGGTTGAGTATGTGCATCATTTTGTGTGTGTGTGTTTTTGTTGTTGTTAACTTAAGCACCTAGGGATTGAGTATGTGCCATCAGAAGTGCTAACACAAACAGTCTAACAATGGAAATACTGTTCTCCATTGATTTAAGCATGAGAATGGAGGTGGAGGCAGTCACTGCAGCCCTGAAATTGATAGCAGAAAACAAAGTTACCAGAGGAATTATTGTGTCTGATTCTCAGTCTGCAATGCGGAAGGTTCAAAATGGACTAATGTGGCATGAGTGGGTACCATGTATCAGTACGCCAACATTGCAGAGAATCACATGGATATACTGTCTGGGATATGCAGGAGTGCCAGGGACTGAAAGAACATATTTTCTGGCTACAAAGGCGAAAGCTACAGGAACATTCGTACTGGACAAGGGACATATTCTGAAGACCATGGCAGAAGACATGAGATTAAATGAAATAACATGTACAAGAATGTGTGAACGAGGAATTAAGTGTAAACCCGGCAAGGAGGGACGGTTGAGAGGGAGAGAGCGGCGTGTATGTAATCAGTTTGCTAAAGGAACAGCATCTACGCCTTAAATCATTTGCTGCTGGAGATGGAGCATCTATGGGTATGCCCGACAACATATCTGTAGTTGCACGTATGGTTAATTAGAATGTTGACAGTAGTTGTACATAGATCACATGAAAACAATAACGCCTGTGGTTTTCTAATGTATAGTTTTAAAAAAAATGTATATATAAACTGAAAAAAATGTTTATATAACTAGAAGTGCAAATGAAATTTTAAAACTGCCTGATGCTAGCTTGAAGCTTTCTTGCTTTACCTCCCCCCTCTCTCACGTAAAAACCACTGTTCTAGCACAGAAATAAACAAATGGGGAAGCCGTGGATCCGTAGATCACTGTTCTGGCAGTATGTGCTTTGTGATTGTCACTGGTTGACAATAAGTAAAAGTTTAAAAAGAACAAAAAAAGTAAAGTTACCTTTTCCACGCCGTTAGGCATATAGGGCTAGACCTTTATTTTTATAGACCAATCGGCACGATGAGTAATGTTGTCAGCATCACACTGGCCACCTTTACTTTCCAGGACTGCACCTGGTACCAAAACAAGGCTGAGTCGACCTAGCAGTCAAGGTAATTTTTTTTTAAATGTCAGACTCAGCCAGGAGCGAACCCATGACCTTCCAATCCGCACGGCAGCAGCTAGCTGCTACGCCACAGCAACTCCCACTGGTTGATGATGCTACTGGAAAACAGGGCACAGAAGCTAGTGTTTCATGACATTTTGACTTATTTCTGTCTGGGTTAGAATGTTAACTAATTTCTTCTGGGTTATTAGAATATTTACTGATTAGTTGTCTCTAATTTGTGGGAATGTTGATACATTTTCACTGAGTTTTTTGAAAATTGACAAATTTCCTCTCTTTAGACTGTTGACTGATTTTTCTATTGAATATTGACTAATTAATTTTCCCCCAGCTGTAAGAATGTTGATCTGTCTCCGCTGAATTGTTGGAAAATTGACTGATTTCCTCATTTTGGAATGTGGACTGATTTTCTCTGGGTTGTTGGAGTATTGACTCATGTTCTTTATGATTTCAGTCTGCAATTGTGGAAGTTTGCACTAACTGGGGCCCTTCACAACACGGAGATCAAGCTATGGAGCTGTGAGACTTGGGCATGCATGCAGACTATCACGTGAGCCAGTTTGTGTTCAGTCCTGTCTTCTTTGCTGTAGGCTTACTGTGTAAATCCCCCTCCTGTGGGTTCCGTGGCCCCCTTGTGGGGAAAACAAGAATAGACTCGTCTCCCTCACAATCAGTTTGTAACTATCAACTAAGTATGGACTTCATTCATAGTAGGAGTACATCTGCCTGAGATATAAGGAGCCAACAGCCTACATACAAATAATTCTAAACTTTAAAATAGATGCACACTTAAAACTCAAGTTCTGGAACACGACCAAAATCCAGAAGTGGGCAAACAACCATAACTTTCCGCTGGAGTCTACAGTCAGTGAATGAGAAGAAGAAGGGTGTATATTTTAATCACAGAGAATGTGTGTGTGTGTAAGATAGAGAAGGAGATTTTGTGCGACTTTGAGTGGCACAGGAACGGAGCAGTTATGGGGCGACCTGTGTGTAATGATGTTGATACTTAACTAACTACCTACCATTATCGCAGTCGATAGGAGACTCGCTTTCAAATCTGCTGTGACTCGCTACAGCACACGGCCGGTGTTCAAAACCAGGCTGTTACCGGGGTTCACCCAGCCTCTAGGAAATGGGTACCAGAGTTAACACTCTGGGGTAAATGGAGGAATGTCGCTGTAGCTAAGAGTTGGGTGCGGACGACGACACAGGCAGTTTCTTATCAGCTGTCCGTGCTGGTGGCAGAGCACTTATGGTTTATAACTGTGTGCAGTGATGCTGGTTCACATCTCCTGACTTTACCTTTTCTGTTTATTTTGTATGCTACATGTATTTATTATAGCAGATTGCTAAATGGATCAGAAAAATGAAGAATGACCACAAACAGTTACTAATAAATCAGAAACAGTCATTTGCTGATACTAGCACAGAGAAGAAGAAGACATAAATTAATATGATAGAATAACTAATTCTTATCTTATGGACATTTAAAAAAAAAAAAGAAGAAGAATTAAGTAAATTAATGTAACAACTGTGGTTGCTGCTGCAACAGGCAGCATCTGCATCTTAAGACATTTGCTGTGGGAGGAAAAGCATCTGTGGATATGTCTGGTATGTTTAGCTGTATCTCAAAGCAGTGGTTAGTTAGATATATTCATTGTGCTGTTCTCTTCTGGAGTATGATGGAGGTCACTTAGTGCTGCCCAGATGACCCAAATATTGGCTATCCTAATGGCCCTAATAGGGCTCTCCAGGTTGCCTTAATGGTAGCTCTCTTGGTTGCCCTAATAGTGGCTTTCCGGTGGGTGTTAATAGTGGCTTTCCAGGCAGCCTTAATAGTGGCTTTCCTTCCAGGCAGCCTTAATAGTGGCTTTCCATTTGGGTCTAATAGTGGCTTTTCAGTTTGGCCTATTAGGGGCTCTCCATATGGCCCTAAAAGTGGCTATCTTTGTTACCTGCATTCTACCTAGCTTTGGTTCATTGACTGCTCACACTCTACCTTCTTATTTGTACAGGTTCAGACCTCCAGCAATGCAACCAGATCTCAAGCTGCGACTGAAGTCAGGGATTGACCTGACCTCTAAGTACTTAGTTCTTTCTGATATAAACTCCAGGGTAAGTTGTGATAGCTGTGCCACAGTACACTTTGTCTTGAATGGAGAAATAAATGTTATTTTCAAAGGGCTTAAAACTGGGGCACACAGGCCTGTGTAACATGATGCCTTTTGATCTTACTCCAGTCGTACACTGTTTCATTCACACATCTTTTTTAAATAGAATTGTAGCACCATAGCAGTGTGTGATTTATACATGACTTATACATTAATATCTAGGCCATCTAGGCACAGGAAGGGGCATGTGTCTGCCAGAGATAGGCTGTTGTCGAGACTTTACTCAATGTCCAGTACTAAAGACTTTCATCAGTGCCCGGTACTAAAGATTCCCCTCAGTGCCCGGTACCAAGGACTGTCCCGAGTGCCCAATACCAAAGAGTTTCCTCATTGCCCAGTACCAAAGACTTCCCCCAGTGCCTAGTACCAAAGAGATTGCACACAGGACAGACCCTTCATCAGTTTGAAACTGCTAAAACTAGACCATGATTGTCTTGTTCTGTCCAGACTTCAAACATCAGAAGCACTGCTGATGGTAGAATTCAGGGTTCCTTTCAGCTTTTTTACCCCATCTTGTCGGCTGAGAGATTTGGTAGGGAATTTATAGAGATTCCCCCAGAAGGTTCTATACTATGGGGGGGGGGGGGGGGGGGGGGGGGGGGGTGGCCTAGGGTTAGTGTTAGTCGATGTTCATTTAACTGTAACAATTATCCCCAATTCGCATCGCGCTTCCTATGGTCGGCCCAAGAGAAACATTGGTTTACGCCGAACTTTAACGGTCGCTAAGTGAATTACAGAATACAGTGAATTTCATACTAGAGACGACATTGCAGATATAGGTAATCTATTTAATATTTAGACAAACGAAAGCAGAAGAGGAAACTAACCTCTGGGAAGATCACTGAGAATTCCCTACCAGATCTTACAGCTGAAGAGATTGGGTGAAAAATCTGAAAAGTACCTCATTCATAGCTTTTATATTTGTTGTATGCCTAAAGAGTGCAAGTAAAAAAAGCAAGAACATGTTTATTGGCATTAACTCTTTCAGGACCACATTGTTTCTGGGGCTTGGACAGCTTTAATTGTGAGCAAATATTTTTTTTTACTGCAACATGACAAAGCTAAAACCTTCCTGAAGAAAAAGTATTGGCTGTATCAGGACATATAATATATCAAAAAAAAGATAAATGAGTGCAGAATAAATCTAAACTATTTAAGTCAGTATTCCACGACAAAAGTTTATTAAAATCACACAACATTTAAGGATGTGAGACACATGAAGATTATTTACATAAAGAATTTTGTGCTTACTTTACTTTTTTACTTGCTCAACAACACTGCTTTACAATTCTAAGAATTAATATGCCTTCTCTGTTCATTTATGTATCTGTTCAATTACATAGCAGCTAGTCTTTATTTGAAAGAATTAATTTAACTACTTAGGATGTTATGATAATTTTTGTATTACATGTCAGATTTCGCAACAACTGAAAACAGGGAAAAAAAACTGATTGAAACAGATGATCTAATTTAAATATTTTTTTCAATCTTCATATTCTAAACTAAATTATCACCAATAGGTTTGTTACTTGCATTTCGGAATAATGTCAAGACTATTGTCACTATCCAGCAAAGATTCATCAACAAGAGAGCAGTATTATGAACAGTTCTAGACCTTTTCCCTTATAATTTGGTATAGAAAAATCACGTAAAAATTGTATCACATCTAAATAATCTTTTAAACACCAGAAAGTTAAACAAAAGTCACGTGGAACATCACAAATGAAAGAACTTTCTTTTGCTAATCCTAGTTTTTCAAAACATGTTGATAAAAATTAATTTCCCCCCACAAACAGAACAAAATTAGAGTGTCTATGATTCGCCAGTATACTGGTCAATAGTCCGATCGGGATCAATTCAAAAGCCAGTTAACTAGTTATTATTCTCCCAAAAGTTTACAGATCTGAATTATTTATGGGGCGGTTACATTAAAAATTTCTCCCCCCCCCCCCCCCCCCCCCAGATAATATAATTTAAAAACAATTTCACACAGGTCACTAATGCATTTATTTAAAGTTTTTTTATTTACTGTAGTTAATTTGTTTTCAAAATGTGTAAAGATAAATAAACTGAGTAATCAATAAACACAGCGGGAAGCATTAGATGAAACCTATTCCCCGGGGTCTAAAAGAAGTGAAATGAGCTACTCAAACTGTGACCCCGTGACCTTTATCATTAAGGCTGCGGGAAATTGTTATCAGCTTGGCTTTAATAAGCCATTTAGTTTGCAAGGAAACCCTACTTTTAGTAACTCTATTCAAACCCTGACCTCCTAAGTGCTGTCCAGTCACAAACATAGACAGTAGCATTTAACCATGCATCTAGTAAACACGTCACTCCAAAATGTCGGGAAAGTGACATTTGTGGAGAATTGGAGCCAATCGGAAGTGTCAGTTTTGCAGCGTATTGGGGTGGTGACGTTAGAAAGTTTCATACCAGTCTCCAGCCTAAATAACATGTCATGTAATTATTAATTAAGTATTTTGGTCGCTGCCATTCAGCAGTCAGTTCTACTGTCAGGTTTAGCTAAATAAATAAATATATTTTGTTTCACAGGTGTTGTATGTGCTACAGATCTATCAGAAATATGACAGCAACACGGTTCACATCAGTTCCCTGTCACAGTTTTCATTAACCCAGCCTTGCCTTAGCTTTGCCATATTTGACGCTGGAGTGAAGCGATTCCGGCACTCGGCCAATGATTCACACCTGGACGAAATCACCACAGGTAATAAGGGAGCAGTATGGCTGCCAGTTTAATGCTTATGATGCCCTCATGTGGGCTGGTGAACCCATTTTTGGAGAGGAGGGGGGATAGACCTACTGCCCCCTTAGAAACATGCTGTTAAAGTTGAAGTTAGAATGCATCTGCCTCCGAGACTAGGAACCAGCAGACTGCATACAGATCAGCCAGATCTGTAAAAAATGTATGTCCACACAAAACTCAAATTTTGAAATAAGACTAAAATCCAGAAGTGGACGGACAACCAGAACTTTCTGCGAGAGTTTGCAGCTGGTGAACGTGAAGAAATAGAAGTAGACTGCTGATGGTAAACTATAAGGTTACCCTATTAGCAGAGAGCATGAGCTATAAAGTGACCTTTTTTGTGGAGTTGTTGTTGTTATCGATCCAGCGGCGCATGAGCTTTCGCCCTTTGGCCCAATGCCATGTAGTGGAATTTGCATGTTTTCACAAGCTGTTCTTTTCCTCCGTACAAGGTGTTCCACTTGTCTGGTCTCGGAGGGAGTAGCGTTCTTCTTGTCTCACTGAGTTTTGGGCACTCAAAGAGATGGTGTTCAACAGTTTCGTAGGGGTAGTTACATAGCTGGCACTCTGGGGAGTGTTGTGGCTGTATTCTGTTTAGGTGTCCATTGAGTGGAGTATGTTGCGTTCTAAGTCTGAAGATGGTGGCCTGGTCCCTTCTTGTTAGATGGTTAATGCTGTCATTAGGATCAGGGCCAGACATATGTCTATAAACCTCTCTTCCAGTGTCTCCCATGGCCCATCTGTTCAACCAAGTCTCTTTGTTTATAGCTCTTATCAGTGTTTTTGCTGTCTGGAGGGTTGTCGCTGTAGGTGGTTGTTCTTGTGTTGCTCCTTTCTTTGCCAATCTGTCAGCTCTGTCATTACCTGGTGTGCCGGAGTGACCTGGAATCCACTGCATCACTATTCTGATGTTGTATGAGGTAATAAGCTGATCGGCATCCAGGATTATCTTGGCTATGTCAGTTCTGCAGCGTTCATTGCCCTCCAGAGCTTGAAGGGCAGACATTGAATCTGTGAAGATGACAATATTTTGGACCTTTGAGGGGTAAACATCCAACCTTTTTTGTAGAGAGCATGAGCTATAAAGTGAACTTTTTTGGTAGAGAGCATGAGCTATATATAAAGTGAACAATTTGATTCTAATGGTGAACTGTGAAGCTAAGAATTTGATGCTGATAGTGAACTACAAAGGGGACAACGATGCTGATGGGGAACTATAAAGTGAACAATTTTTTCTGTTGACAGTGAACTATAAAATGAACAATTTGGTGATGGTGAAACTATGAAGTGAACAATTTGAAACTCAGTAAACTATAAACTGAACAGTTTGATGCTGATGGTGATCTATAAAGGGGACAGCTTTGTTTTGATGATGACATATAAAGTGAATGTTTGATAGTGATAATGTAATATAAAGTGAAATTTTATACTGATGACAAACTATAAAGAGAACATCTTTGATACTAATAGTAGACTGTAAAGTCAACCTTGATACTAGGGGTGAACTGTAAGGTCAACTTTGATACTAATGGTGGACTGTAAACTTGGCCTTTCTACTAATGGTGAACTGTAAAATCAACTTTGATACTAATAATAAACTGGAAAATCAACTTCGACACTAATTTTGAACTGTAACTTCAACCTTGATACTAATAGTGAACTATAAAGTCAACCTTGATACTAATGCTGAACTATAAGTCAGCTTTGATACCTAAAACTAAAGATGAACTATAAAGTCAGCTTTGATACAAATGATGAACTATAAAGTCAGCTTTGATACTAATGATGAACTATAAAGTCAGCTTTGATACTAAAGATGAACTATAAGTCAGCTTTGATACAAATGATGAACTATAAGTCAGCTTCGATACAAATGATGAACTATAAAGTCAGCTTTGCTACAAATGATGAACTATAAAGTCAGCTTTGATACAAATGATGAACTATAAAGTCAGCTTTGATACAAATGATGAACTATAAAGTCAGCTTTGATACAAATGATGAACTATAAAGTCAGCTTTGATACAAATGATGAACTATAAAGTCAGCTTTGATACAAATGATGAACTATAAAGTCAGCTTTGATACAAATGATGAACTATAAAGTCAGCTTTGATACTAATGATGAACTATAAAGTCAGCTTTGATACTAATGATGAACTATAAGTCAGCTTTGATACAAATGATGAACTATAAGTCAGCTTCGATACAAATGATGAACTAGCAAGCTTTGATATAAATGATGAACTGTAAGTCAGCTTTGATACTAATGATGAACTATAAAATCAGCTTCGATACTAAAGATGAACTGTAAAGTCAGCTTTGATACTAATGTTGAACTGTAAAGTCAGCTTTGATACTAATGATGAACTGTAAAGTCAGCTTTGATACTAATGATGAACTGTAAAGTCAGCTTTGATATTAATGGCAAACTATAAAGCAAACTGTTTGATACTAATCAACATCAGAGCACTTGGGGCATTCCAATTAGCGCTATGACCTCATCGTCAGCAGCAAGCGCAGGGAGTTCCACATCTGATGGTGCCAGTAACAGTCTGATTGTGTGTCCATCTCACCCCCTACCTGAGTGTTGGGCACTAGTCACTCCCCAATGCAACATTCTCTTCAGACAGTGGTGAGTGTTTGTGGTTCCTCAGTGTTCACTCGCTCCAGAAGGACCCCTACAATGTCTAGCTTGTCCAGCATCAGTTTACCACTAAGTGGTGCATAACAAGCCAGTCTATCTGCCTGTTCATTTCTCAGCTTATTGGCATGCCCTGAAAAAAATATATATATAAGACACTACCTACCTGACCACTTAAATGATGCTTGCCACTCTGCACAGAATCACCAACAGTGACAGAACTGTAATACGAATTTGTTTATTCTTCTAATAGGGGAGCTGAATGAAAACCAGGAGGATGTGGACGAGCAGGAAGTCAGGAATGGAGCAGATTCTACAGACAAGGTGACCACAGGTGTGCAGATCAGAATGTACGGTGTTCATACCAAGTAAGTGTCTATTACAGGTGAATAGTTGCTTCGGTCCACATTGCGCAAATCTTCTCCTTCTTAGTGTTCACTGGCTGTAAACTCTGGTGGACAGCTCTGTTTGTTGTTCAACATTTTCCCATGAAAGTTTTATGTCGTCATCATCATGTAGCAGGTCCTTTGCAGAACGTTGCTCTCATCACGGTCTGCCTGAAAGAAACTATCTCTTGCCAGCTTTCCCGCCTCTTTTAACTTCATACTCAAGGAGTCACTTATATCCTGTGCCCATCTTTGTGTTGGTCGGCCCCTGCCTCTCCTTCCTGGTACCAGGCCTTCTGCTATTTTTTTTTTCCAATCCTTCTTGGCACTTGATATGACCAAAATATTTCAGCTTCCAAGTTGTATACATTGTGAAAATCTGGAATTAGCTTCCTCGCAAGGGGATCTGACACATTAAACTGTTCCTTGTTTGCACACATTGTGAAAATCTGGGATTTGCACCCCTAAAATGGCTTCATTAGTGCTGATGGCATCCACTGCAAGCCTGATTAATCAGTAGGGTTTGTTCAAAGTTGTAAACTCAAGGCAGCAGAGTGATCAGGGAGGCATGAATAAAAAGATACCTGGCATCACTGCATTCAGGACATTCCCACACGTGTTGCATCCCCTCCTTCAGTAACCAGCGAAGAGTCGACAAGCTAATAGTACCAGTTGCAACCTTTGTTCTGCCTTTGCTTTCCCTCAAAGTTGAATATCTCCCAGAACCTCCACTCACCCCCTGTTGAATTAGTCTTTCACTGTATGGATTCTGTGTTCTCAGCTTTTTCATCAAGTAGCTCACCGCCCAGAGGATTGGCAGCAGCTAATCTATCAACCTGCTCGTTACCTGACACACCTGAATATCTTGGACAGAAAATCCATGATATGCTCTTGATGAGTCTTATCAAGTGATGCAAGCCACTCTGCTTCATGAGGAGTACCATCACAGCACTCTGGACAGATCCGTAGGTGCTCTGGACAGCCATAGGTGCTCTGGACAGAGCCATAGGTGCTCTGGACAGAGCCATAGGTGCTCTGGACAGAGCCATAGGTGCTCTGGACAGAGCCATAGGTGCTCTGGACAGATCCATAGGTGCCCTGGACAGATCCATAGGTGCCCTGGACAGATCCGTAGGTGCCCTGGACAGATCCGTAGGTGCCCTGGACAGATCCGTAGGTGCCCTGGACAGATCCGTAGGTGCTCTGGAAGATCCGTAGGTGCTCTGGACAGATCCGTAGGTGCTCTGGACAGATCCGTAGGTGCTCTGGACAGATCCGTAGGTGCTCTGGACAGATCCGTAGGTGCCTGTACAGATCCGTAGGTGCCCTGGACAGATCCGTAGGTGCCCTGGACAGATCCGTAGGTGCCCTGGACAGATCCGTAGGTGCTATGGACAGGTCCATAGGTGCTCTGGACAGATCCAAAAGAGCTCTGGACAGATCCATAGGTACTCTGAAATCCACACTAGCTCCACAAGTAAAATAACTGATAGCACATGTTCTGTATTGATAAATCAGACACTTTGTGCCCTTTGTGAAATATCCATTTCTTGCAACTTAGGCCCATCAGACTGGATAGGGATGTGGAGTCAGCAGAAGCTCTGGTCACATATCTGCAGTTGACTTCAGTTTTCAAAATGGCAACTGTGTTACATATGTTTGAGTGGCTGCAATTTCCCTTGGATTGTTCTGTTGCCTGCTGTTTTGTGTGTGTTTCCAATGCAGGAGACTGTGTGTGGGAGCAGCGTGTATTTTAGTTGTGTTGGAGCAGGATGATGGCCTCGACCACATTGTGCTCCCTGTGTTTTGATTGCGGTGGTTCACTAAACAGAAAGACAGAGAATCCTGTCAGCGGGGGACTATAAACTGTCTAGAGAGAAAATTCGTTGATAAAAGCTTCCCCTTGCCCCCCCAAAAAATGGAATGCATCAGTCATTTGTGTGGTGTGTGTGTGTGGTGTGGAATCAACATACGGTTGTGTGAGTAGTCTTCTTTTTCTTTTTTTTTTAGGTTCACCGGCTGTAAACTGCTGTAGATGGTTATGGTTGTTTGTCCACGTCTGGACTTTAGTCTTTTTCCAGAACTGGAGTCTTACATACACATGTGTTTTACAGATCTGGCTACCTGTGTGCAGACTGTTGGTTCCTCACTTTTTAGGCAGATGCACTCCGATTTTGAAGAAAACACCGTAATTAGTAGACTTTTATGATGCGTGTTGGGGGGGGGGGGGGGAGAAGTGGGTGTATTCTTTTTTATTCCCCTCCCACACGCACACAAACGCACACTTTGGGGCCTCAGAACTCACACGGGGAAACTCATTAGTCATGGTCAGTGTTCATGTTCACCAGATTCCTTTGTGTTTAGCAGAAAATACAGGTTACTAAGTGTTCATATTAATAACCCTTGCGTTCTTTGTCATCTTCCTTTTAGAGCCCTGCAGGAGTTGCTGATCCGTTACCGCCCAGAGTCCAGCGTGCCATTCCCGCACACATCCAGTGTGAGTTCCACATCCCAAGAAGAAGGTATGTTTTCAGGCTTCATTTTGTTCCTCTCTTTTGTCAAGTGATTTATAACTGTTTTTTTCTGGTTGCTGTCTTGGTCCAGTTCAACATTTTGTATCTATCTGTCTAGTCTGATGTATACTCTGTTAGTGCAGTTAAACATATTTTGCTGTCTTGATCTAGTTTAAAATTGTTTTCTGACATTCTTTTGTGTGAGGTGTCTTTATATTTCCTGTTATTATTTTCTACAGAATTCTTGTGCCTTATCAATCAATCAGCTTATCCTTCTTGTTGTTGAAGCCGGGCAAGATTGATGTTTTCTTTTATGAAATGTGGTGTTTTAAAGTTTTGATTTGAATGATTAGATTTTAACTGAAACATCGCACATGTGACATTTTTTGTCCATTTCTTCATTTAATCCTCCTGCTGCTGCATTTGTCCTTAAAAGAGTCGTTGGCAGTGGTCTTTCTTTTGTTCAACCATTATTGGATAAATGGGCCCACCCTGGGACTAGTAGGAAATGACCTGTTGTTTTCTTTAGACTGGGGATTGTTGAATGAGATCTTCTGTACTGATGTATGATGGTGTATATGTGTGAGAGAGGGAGAGAATAGCATGAAGCTTATCTTTTTGTTCTGAAGTTGTGTGTGTTTGCCAGAAATGTTGTCATGTTTTTGTGGTTCATTGGTTCATTTTTTTTCAAACTGATGACACATACATTGTACAGAGAATAGTTAATAAAAAATGAGAGACTATCGTTTCATTGTAGACTCTTTTTCTTCTTTTTCACGTTTACCAGCTGTAAACTCTGGTGGAAAAATCTGGGTTTTTTGGTGTTTAGTTCTGGATATCTCTTTTGTTCTAGAACATGTGTTTTTCCTGCACATCCATTTTACAGATCTGGCTTATTTGTATGTCAGCTGTTGATTCTTCAACTTTCAGGCAGATACAGTTCTGCACCCCGTCTTTGAGGGAATGAGTTAGTCAACTTTTATGATGTTCTTGTTTGAAGGATGTGTTCTATTTTCCCCTTTACCATGCGGCTGTGGAACATACACGGGAGAGATCACAGCAAACTCTCTTAAGGCATATTGTTCTTAGTTCAACAAAAAAATTTGTTAGTTGATAGATCATCATCATCATCATCACACATCGAACCATTCAGTTCATAGGTGCTCAGATCCCCTCCTCAGTATCTCCCTTAGAGTGTAGTGACTTATGGCACCAGTTCTGTGGTGGTTTACTATTCTTTTTTAGGCCCCTGTCTAGCGCTTCACCCCTTTTGATGGTATGTTCGTGTAGTCTCGTCAGTGTTGCATATTCACAATCATTACTTGATTCGTTTAATCCAGCCGCCTCTCTGAGGGCATTCAGTATATCACCCATGACCATTGCTCATCCGTTTCCGGCGTGAGCATCACTTGCAAGTCTGTCAGCTCTTTCATTGCCCATTACACCAGAATACCCTGGAAGAAATATGAAACTGATTTTTGTCAGCCTAGATCTGTTCAGGGACTCCACCCATTGTCTTCGCATGCAACACTTCTTGACCTTCTTGAACATATTCATTGAGTCGCTGAGAAACCATGCCCGGGTGAAAGTCTGTGTTTCTAGCCAAGCTATTGCTTTAGTTGCTGCTATGACCTTCATAGTCAATTTGCTGTTTGTCGTCAAGGCGAAGGCACCGCAGTCTTGTTTGACAGTTCTCCCTCTGATCTGAGCCGTAAATGCCCACGAGCTCCTGACATTTTGAATGATAGAACCTTTTGTGTAGATGATCACATCGCCCTCAAAAGAATCCTCACATATCTGCTCTTCAGCTTCCACAACCACTGGGTTCTGTTGTCTGCATCCTCTGTTCAGGTTGATGCAATATTCAATGGACGTATAACATTCTGGTGGTACACGTATCCATTCCTCCCCAAGTTCTGTCCTCAAGTGGACAAACCTCTTGTATAATATCCTCGGCCTGACCCATCACTTTAATCTGCTGCCTTTTGTTTTCCTGATTTCACTGTGCAGTGGGTTTTGTATGTCGGCACTGGCTCTGAAGTAGGTGTGTGCTCGACAGATCCTTATTAATAAAATAATAATGTCTACGTAACTGTTTACACATGTATGATTTCACGTTTAGTTATCCACGTTTAGTAAGCGTGCTCTGGATATTTTCTCCTGGTCCTGTTGGTGTGTTGGAAAACGAGCAGGCAGATAGACTGGCCAGTTCTGCACTACTTGGAGGTGAACTGATGTATGACAAGCTGGATGTTGTGAGGGCCCTTTCGGAGCGAGTGTACAGTGCAGAGGCACAAATAGATCATTTTGGTCAGAGGAGAATGACCCTACGAAGAGTTACCAGGGAATCTGGCCGAAGCTCAGCCCTCAAGGGAAAGGTGAGACAGATGTACAGGCAGTTACTGGTACTTGCTGCTGAAGGTGGGGACGGAGCGCTTATGGGAGTCTCTTTGTGCTGGACGTCGATTCTTAGTTCAATATTCAATGTTTAGTTAGCTTTCCATCCTCATTGTGGAGAGGGAAACAGGAACAGACCCACTGCTCCACTAACAATGGTAGTGTAAGAGTCAACTAAGCGGGGGTGTTTCCTTTGAAATGAGTACATCTGCCTGAGAAGTGAAGAACCAACAGTCTGCATACAAATGAGCTAGATCTGTAAAACAAATGTTAATGCAAAACAAAAGTTCTTGGATAAGAGGTAATGTCTGGAAGTGGGCATATGACCAGAAACTGTTCTCCAAGGTTTGTAGCCAGTGAACTCGAAGAAGAAGAAGAAATATCTTAAACAGATATTAGTCAGGGTTGACACAAAAATTGGTAAACTTGTTCCCGGCACTTTCAGTGATGCGCAATATGTTATCAGATGCCAGTTTGGACCAGAGTGGAACTAGCCAGGACCTAGCAGTTGTTTCTCCGAGTACGCCGACAAGGGCAGCTGTTGCAAAGACATTTGAAGCCTCTAGTCCAGGGTGGGTAGTGGCAAGTACTTAAGTAAATGTAATTGCAGTTATTAAATAAAATTATTATAATACATTTATAATCATATTAAATAACTTTTTGCCTATTATATTATGTAAGTGAAAAGTAAAGGTCCCTTTTCTACGCATTTAGGCATATAGGGCTAGACCTATAGTTTTATAGACCAGTCGACACAAGATGGGTGATGTGGTCAGCATCACGCCGGCCACCTTTACTTCCTGGGACTGCACCAGATACCCACTTGAGGCTATGTCGACCTGGGAGTCAAAGTCATTTCTGAAGAAAACAAAAAGTGAGAGAACCCGCAACCTTCCGATCTGCACGCGCGCGTCAGGCCACTACATCATATGTAATCAGATAAATTGATATTATGATGAGAAGAGGTGGGCTGTGGACTGTTGTGCAATCATTAAGAAAGACAATGGGAGCTGTTGAGCTGAAATTCTTCAGAAGGATTCTGAAAATACCATGGACAGAAAAATAAAAGAAGTACTGATATCCTTACAAATTTAAATGTCAAGAAAATTGGCTCATAGTCAGCATCTTTTCGTGGAAACAAATATTTTGGATCACTGGGTTGGGAAGAATAGTAGCAGAGGGCATGCTATCAGGTAAGAGGGGCAGGGGTCGACTGGCACGGCCATGAGCACAAGACCTGAGTGTCACCTTGGGCAGGAAGTTACATGAGGTGGAAAAGCTGGCAAGAGATTGTATTCCTTTCAGGTGGACTTTGATGGGAGCTTTTAAGAGCCTGATGATGATGAAGTGATGCCATCAGCTGGTGAAGAAATGTTATCAGTGCAGTGATACTTTCATCAGTTACTAGCAGGGCTGACAGGAGTACAGCAACACAGGTGAGACTGCAGAAACACAAAGCTGTCAAGTGACGAAAAACACATGGCCCAGCTCACCGCTTGGTCACACCAAAGAAACCAAACCACAAAGACTCAGCCTAGTAACGGAACAGATTGCTGTACAAAACAAGAAACAGAAGAACTGATCCAACGCATCAGGGAACAAGAAGACAAAAGTATATATTCTGCTGCATGAATTGAATATGGCGATCTTACCCATGAAAAGCGTGTGGACAGAATAAGGCTGGACAACCTATTGCGAGGACCAAGAAAACCTGGCACTGTTTACTGAAGAGAGGGAAGTAAAGGCAGTGATAGAGGCCAGAAGCAAAGGATGGGCACAGACCAACTCCAAGCAAGGCCAGCGCCAGACCCACAGGAAATAACCCACCAGAGACACCACACACCAGCCCCAGGAAAACTGCAGAAGAAGCCCAATTGAACAGAACCAGAGCGAGACGAGCAAGAAGCACAAAACCGACAGTCCTTCTAAGGATTTAGCATAAAGACAGCAAAACAGCTGAGACGCCACCAGCCCAGGCCATGCCAGACATGAAGTAACAGAGAAACAAAAACTCATGTGTAATTGCACACAGGAAAAAAACAACCAGAAATCAAACAAGTCAGCAAAGAAAACCCTCCTCAGTATAACGGGGGGACTAGGCAGTTGAACGAGCAGCAAGTTTGGAATGTTTTTTTTTTCTACATACTGAACTGATCTGATACTGTGATCAGATTTTGGTTACTTTCATGTTATACATTCTCCTTGCTGGCATCACCGGATTAGTTGTGCCAGAAATGAATTGTGTAGTGTTGTTTCTCTCAGTACTCCCAGTGTGTCGCAGGCGGACCAGACCCTGCTGAGTACCTCCAGCACTAGCAGCTTCACTCATGTGACCCCACTCAGGGAGGACTATTCAGGCATCCACTCGCCTCATGGCTCTGTAGACCACTCCACTGAGCTGTCTCCAGGTGGTAGCACTTTCACCCAGGTGAGTTGGCATGCTTTCTGTTCCGTGACCCTAATGTGGACCTAACAGTAGTAAGGTAGAGGACCCTTTTCCACGTCTTTAGGCATATTGGGCATACAGCACCTATGTTTTTAGACCAATCAGCACTCAGCAGGGAATGTGGTCAACATTAGCACTGCCGCCTTTACTTCCCAGGACATTACCTGGTGCCCATTTGAGGCTGGGTCAACATGGGGGTCAAGGTAACTTTTTGAAAAAATCCAGCTTGCTGCAGATTTTAACCCATGACCTTCAGATTCGCAGTGAAGTGTCTAACCGCTTCACCACAGTGGCTGCCCAGTATAAAAGTAGTCGTCTGACATATAAGGACATTTACACGTAGTTGAAATATGCCAGTTTGCAAGACATGTTGCTGTATGTAAGCTGATGAACAGATCTCAGAGAACATGTCTTAAAAGGCTGTCCTCTCCTGGAGGAGCTGTGAAACAGCGTGTGGCCAAGCCCACTAGACCCGACAGCTAATCTTTTGGGAAACCTAAGAGACCTCAAGCTGACATCCCCAGTTTATCTCACATAATAGATCAAGCCCATAATCATATGGCAAAACCTCCCATGCTTCCCTTGAGTATATGGCAAGACCCCCAGTCTCCCTCCCCCCCACCCCCCAGTGAGTATATGGCAAGACCCCCAGTCCCCCCCTCCCCAACCCCCAATGAGTATATGGCAAGACCCCCAGTCTCCCAACCCCCAATGAGTATATGGCAAGACCCCCAGTTCCCCCCCCCCAACCCCCAATGAGTATATGGCAAGACCTCCCAGTCTCCCCAACCCCCAATGAGTATATGGCAAGACACCCAGTTCCCCCCCCCCCCAACCCCCAATGAGTATATGGCAAGACCCCCAGTTCCCCCCCCCCACCCCCAATGAGTATATGGCAAGACCTCCCAGTCTCCCCAACCCCCAATGAGTATATGGCAAGACCCCCAGTCCCCCCCCACCCCCAATGAGTATATGGCAAGACACCCAGTTCCCCCCCCCCCCCCCCACCCCCAATGAGTATATGGCAAGACCTCCCAGTCTCCCCAACCCTCAATGAGTATATGGCAAGACCCCCAGTTTCCCCCCCCCCCCACCCCCAATGAGTATATGGCAAGACACCCAGTTCCCCCCCCCACCCCCAATGAGTATATGGCAAGACCTCCCAGTCTCCCCAACCCCCAATGAGTATATGGCAAGACCCCCAGTTCCCCCCCCCCACCCCAATGAGTATATGGCAAGACCTCCCAGTCTCCCCAACCCCCAATGAGTATATGGCAAGACCCCCAGTTCCCCCCCCCCCCCCAACCCCCAATGAGTATATGGCAAGACCTCCTTTGCTTCCCAAGAGTATGTGGCAATGTGTGCCCATGGTGTAGCGGCCCACATCTGCAAAGTTAAAGACAAACTTAATGGATAATGTGTTCACCGGCTTGCGAACTTCAACTCTGGCAGAAAGTTCTCGCTGTTCATCCACTTCTGGACTTTTAGTCTTGTTCTGTAACTGGAGTTTTACATGCACATTCATTTTACAGATTTGAATGGCTGATTTGGGGGCTGATTCCTCACTTCTCAGGCAGACACACTCTGACTGTGAAGGAAACACCCCTTATGAGTCGGCTTTTACTACATGCTTATTAGAGGGAGCAGTGGGTCCCTGTTGTTGTTCTTTCTCTTACAGTCGGGTCCTGGAACCCACTCAGGGTTTAGGTATGTGAGGTGTGAGATCTTCACATGTTCTAGACCAGGGTATAATGAGATGAGATTGTCAGTACTTTCTTCCCATTGTCCCAGAAGTCCCATCTTGTAAGGTTTTCAATTGAAGTCCATTTGAAACTGAGTTTGTTGTGATACTTATGTTTTCTTAACAACAACACCAAACAACAATTTTATATATATATCTAGAGATATGTTGAGATGTAAATCAACAATGTTACTAACCTCTAATTTGGTATTTCCACAGACTCCTTCTCAGTCCAGACCCTCTCCTGGGGCTAATGTCAGTCTGTCTGAAGTCCCACTACCTCCAGTCACATCCTCAGAGGAGGCAGAGTTAGCCACTCCAAAGAGCACATCAGGAGGCAACCACTCCATGAACGCATCGAGCCGAGGCAGCCAGGAAGTTTTGGATGACATGTTTGCAGTAAACCAGAAGATTATCAAGACTGTAGCTGGTCTCGGTAATTCCATTGAGACAGTCACCAGTACCGGTTCATTCCCTGTTGGAAATCTTCGGGTTAGTAAATAACATTGTTTTAATTTTAAACAAACAATTGTCTTAATTTTAGGCATACCATTGTCTTAATTTTAGGCGTAGCATTGTCTTAGTTTTAGGCTGACCATTGTCTTAACTTTAGGCATAGCATTGTCTTAATTTTAGGCATAGCATTATCCTTATTTTAGGCTTACCATTGTCTTAAATTTAGGCATACCATTGTCTTAATTTAAGGCATACCATTGTCTTAATTTTTTTAGGCTGACCATTTTCTTAATTTTAGGCTTACCATTGTCTTAATTTTAGGCATACCATTGTCTTAATTTAAGGCATACCATTGTCTTAATTTTAGGCTTGCCGAGAATAAATAGGTAGCAGATGTCGAGGCCAGCCTCTACTATGATATAAGGATGCGGGCAAGCTGAACATGAATGATACAGCTATTGATGGGAACAAAAGGCCATGGACCGTGTTGCATGGAGGAGGCACATCAGGAGGAGAATTAGAATGAAGGAAGAAATGAATGCAGGAAGGATGAAAGCTGAGTGTCAACACCTGTACTGAAATCTCATGCTCTAATTGTGGAAAATTTTTCTTTAAAAAAAAAAATTATAACTTTTCTTAGCCTGGACAGGTCTTGCTAGTCACACTCACTCATCAGTGATTCGATACAAAGTATCGTGCCTTCGATACTCCCCTCTGCAGTGTTTCTTTTTTTCTTCTCGTGTGCTGGCGCCTTTGGCCCCTGAGACCTGTGGTTCACAGAAATCGCAGTTACGTAAACAAACCTGTATCAGCCGCTTTTCGACACGGTTTCTTCACACGGCAAAGCAAGCCACGTCGTGACGCCCCCACAACATAGAACAGTCCTTGGCAACTAGGACAACATGAATGTGAGCCGGCACAAACTTTCGCACGCGAGCGAAATGGGGTGACTATCGTGATAAGCACCAACAAAGACATCCTGTAAATGCCGCAAAAATTGCGGGTCGACAGGGTTAAAAATAGTAAATACAATTTCTGTAGTACATGACATCTTTTTTCGACTTGTTCACTGGTTGTAAACTCTGGCGGAACACTCTGGGATTTGTCCACTTGTGGATTTCGGTCTTATTCCAATTTTGCATGCCCATCTCTTTTACAGATCTCACTAACTTGTATACAGACTCTTGGTTTCTTGCCTCTCAGGCAGTTGCATTCCAACTTTGTTGGAAAATCCCCAGTTGGTCACTTTTTATGACATGCTTGTTAGGGAGGCTGTGGGTGTAATATTTTACACAGACACACACACATGTACACACACACGCCCACTCACACACACACACACTCTTTCCATATATGAAGCGCAGAACCAACACAAGGAATTCACTAGTTTGAAGTGTATTCTTCCATTTGTCTTTTCTGTTGTTATTCAAACAGGCCAGCTATAACGATCATGAGGATAGATATGATGAGGATGACAAGGAGGTCGCTGAGGCACTGGGGCTGGAAAAAGAGGAAAACTTAGAGGAAATAGAAGAGAGTGTTTCTTCCCCGCCACAGGAGGAACGGAAAGATTTGTTGTGGCCAGAACCACCTGATGTGTTCACGGAGTCGAAAGGAATCGAAAACGAAGATACTCAGCAAAGGTATTTGTATTGATTTTCTTGATCATTTTGTGGGTAATGATTCTATGTTAATCTAGATATATTCTGCTGTTATAGTAGATTTTTTTCTTTTTCTAGACATGCATTTATTTATTTTAATCACTTTTTTTAAAGGTTTTTGTATATTTAATAGAGTTGGAAGCCACTAGTGTTTATATAGTATGAGGTGGTGACGATATCAGGCAACAAGTTGGGACGGAACAAGTATCCATGTTAGCGAAGTCGATAGGAGACTCCCTTTTAAATCAGCTGCGACTCACTGCAGCCCACGGCCGGCTTTCACAGCCTCTAGGTAATGGGTACCAGAGCTAACACACTGGGGTAAATGGAGGGACGTCGCTGTAGCTACGGAGTTGCGTGCGGATGGCGACACAGGTGGACAGTTTCTTATCAGCTGTCCGTACTGGGGGCAGAGCACTTATGGTTTATAACCGTGTGCAATGACGCTGGTTCACATCTCCCGACTTTACCTACTTTAAAAAAAAAAAAAGTATTGAACTACAACAAGAGACAACGGATCAAGATAGTGAACCGCAGAGATCTCTGTCACTACGACGCAGTGGAAGCACAACTAGAGGTTGACCGTGTATGCGATGTATAGATAGAATATCTAAGGCCTCTAGTACTAGAATTTCTAGCATGTACCGAGACTTGCACCCAAAGCCTCTTTAAAACCTGATGCCCGAAAGCCCAACAGGATTAGGGAAGAAGAAGTTAGTTAGTCTTTCCTCTTGAGTCCAGGGCGGTGCAGAGGTCATAGGTCTCCATGTCTGGTGGTTCGTTTCCACCTGCTTTATTTCTTGGGTGTTTGTTAGGCCTATGATTAAGACTTCCCTGATAATGGTTCTAGGCAGGGACTCTCTTGGTCTGTCCTGTTTGCTTTTCCCTTCCGATGTCCATATGAGGGCTTGATAGGGAAGTCTTCTCTTATGCATGGTCAATGTAGTTTCAGTGCCACTTTCCTATAAAATTGGATACATTGTCTTGCTTGATCTCTAAGAAGTACTGTATGCCTTTACATGTTGTGAATTTTTATTTTTGTAGTGTGCGAGAGGAGGAGGAAGAGAAAGACTTCTATGACGATGAAAATGATGAAGCTGAAGTTGAAGAGATTATACAGTGCCTGGAAGCAGATGACGAAGAAGATGATGTCGAAGATGATGTTGGTGCCCAGCGGGATTATTCCAAGAGGCCACAAAGGTAATTGATTAAATGGTAGAGATCCCCCTCTGGGTTCTGGGGCCTCATTGGGGTGAGGAAAAGAATACATCCACTGCCCCCAATAAACATATCATCAAAGTTGATCAACTGCTGGAGAAGGTGCAACAAAAGTGCAGCCGGATGTACCAGTCACATACCACCAAAAGAAAAGAATCATTAAATCAATCAGGAAACCACCAGCCCCAGCACAAGACGACTATTTTATTATGGTCAGATCAGAACAAGTCATTATCCTCAGAACAGAACACAACCGATTACGTAACCACATGTACACAAAATTCAGTATAGGCGTATTAGCCATGTGCACCTGTGGAAATGTGCCCCAGACAGCAGAGCCTGTACTCCATGACTGCACCGAATTTGACACATTAAGGCAAACCTTTTGGCCAGAAAGAACAACAGTGGAACGTAAACTCTATGGACCACTAAATGAATTAACAACGACAGTGAAATTTATACAAGAGACAAAATTGCTGAAACAACTTATTTCAGGCGAATGAAAGAAGAAGAAGAATATCATCAATGTCAACTAATGAAGGGTATTTCCTTCAAAATTGCCTTGCATCTGCCTGAGAGGCGGGAGCAGTCGGCTTACAAAGAACCCAAATCTGTAAAATGTATGTGCACACAAAACTCTAGTTCTGGACCAGACATTTACTGGTACCATCAAAATTGGAACTCTTTGCTTGCTGCTGAAGATGTGGATGTAGCGCTTATGTGAGAGTCTTGAGTGCTATGATGTTGATTCTTAATTCAACATTCTGATCAGAACAGACCAAGTCATATTTTTTTGCTTATGCATGCGACACTGCAGACTCAGCAAACACTCAAGTAAATTTAACATGAGCCAAACAGCCCTGTGTCAGTGTCTTCATGCTGAACAGCCCTGTGTCAGTGTCTTCATGCTGAACAGCCCTGTGTCAGTGTCTTCATGCTGAACAGCTCTGTGTCAGTGTCTTCATGCTGAACAGCTCTGTGTCAGTGTCTTCATGCTGAACAGCTCTGTGTCAGTGTCTTCATGCTGAACAGCTCTGTGTCAGTGTCTTCATGCTGAACAGCTCTGTGTCAGTGTCTTCATGCTGAACAGCTCTTTGTCAGTGTCTTCATGCTGAACAGCTCTGTGTCAGTGTCTTCATGCTGAACAGACACAAAACATGTCTTGCAAGACTCTTCTTCTGGAGGAGTTGCAAGACATGTGACCAGATTTTGTCAGTAAGCATTGACCAGTTGTGTAGTAAGTGTTGACCAGTTGTGTAGTAAGTGTTGACCAGTTGTGTAGTAAGTGTTGACCAGTTGTGTAGTAAACATTGACCAGTTGTGTAGTAAGTGTTGACCAGTTGTGTAGTAAGTGTTGACCAGTTGTGTAGTAAGTGTTGACCAGTTGTGTAGTAAGTGTTGACCAGTTGTGTAGTAAGTGTTGACCAGTTGTGTAGTAAGTGTTGACCAGTTGTGTAGTAAGTGTTGACCAGTTGTGTAGTAAGTGTTGACCAGTTGTGTAGTAAACGTTGACCAGCTGTGTAGTAAGTGTTGACCAGTTGTGTAGTAAGTGTTGACCAGTTGTGTAGTAAGTGTTGACCAGATGTGTAGTAAGTGTTGACCAGTTGTGTAGTAAGTGTTGACCAGCTGTGTAGTAAACGTTGACCAGCTGTGTAGTAAGTGTTGACCAGTTGTGTAGTAAGTGTTGACCAGTTGTGTAGTAAGTGTTGACCAGTTGTGCAGTAAGTGTTGACCAGTTGTGCAGTAAGTGTTGACCAGTTGTGCAGTAAGTGTTGACCAGTTGTGTAGTAAGTATTGACCAGTTGTGTAGTAAGTGTTGACCAGTTGTGTAGTAAGTGTTGACCAGTTGTGTAGTAAGTGTTGACCAGTTGTGTAGTAAGTGTTGACCAGTTGTGCAGTAAGTGTTGACCAGTTGTGCAGTAAGTGTTGTCCAGCTGTGTAGTAAGTGTTGTCCAGCTGTGTAGTAAGCGTTGACCAGCTGTGTAGTAAGCATTGACCAGCTGTGTAGTAAGCATTGACCAGCTGTGTAGTAAGCATTGACCAGCTGTGAAGTAAGCATTGACCAGCTGTGCAGTAAGCATTGACCAGCTGTGCAGTAAGCATTGACCAGCTGTGCAGTAAGCATTGACCAGCTGTGTAGTAAGCATTGACCAGCTGTGTAGTAAGCATTGACCAGCTGTGTAGTAAGCATTGACCAGCTGTGTATTAAGCATTGACCAGCTGTGCAGTAAGCATTGACCAGCTGTGCAGTAAGCATTGACCAGCTGTGCAGTAAGCATTGACCAGCTGTGCAGTAAGCATTGACCAGCTGTGCAGTAAGCATTGACCAGCTGTGCAGTAAGCATTGACCAGCTGTGCAGTAAGCATTGACCAGCTGTGTAGTAAGCATTGACCAGCTGTGTAGTAAGCATTGACCAGCTGTGTAGTAAGCATTGACCATCTGTGTAGCAAGCATTGACCAGTTGCAATAAATACATAGCCTTGATTGGCACTCATGAAAAATAGCCAATCGTATGTCTGTTTCTTAGGATAGAAAAAGTAAACAAGAGATAAAAAAATGTTTTTAATGTTCTGGTGGAGTTTTGCAGTGCTTGAGATGTTTATTTGTTGTCTTTCTTTCACTGTCTTTACAGATCAGATATGAGCCAGACTCCAGTTGGAGTTCTCAACAGTGTAAGTATTGTTGCTACATTCTCAGATTCATGACTTCTTCTAGATGAAATCATCAACATGTGGGTTCTGGGGCCTTATTGTGGGGAAAACAAGAATAGACCCACTGCCTACCTAAAGGCACGTCATAAGTGTTGTGTAATTGGTGGCTTCCTGCTAAGTAGGAGTGCATCTATCTGCCTGAGAGGCAAGGAACCAAATGAGTCAGATGTGTAAAACTGATGCACATGCAATACTCAAGTTCTGGAAAAAGACTAAAGTCCAGAAGTGGACGAACAGCCAGGATGTTCCACCAGAGTTTATAGCTGTAAACATGAAGAACAAGAAGATGAAGATGAAGTCATGAAGATTTTATAAAAATCACTCTTCATGCTGACAAGCGTAAGGCAGCCATTGTTTGCTATATCACATGGTTCATCATAACTAACGTTTTTTGTGTCACGGTTTGAAGTGATTTTGTTTTTGGGTATTCTTATTCATTTTTTTGTATTGTGTGATGTGCTGATGCAGGCTTTTTAGCCGCACCATTCATTTGTCATTTTATATTTGGTTTGATAAGTTTTCCTCATAGTTTTAGATCAGATTGTAATCCTCAGGCCCCAGTTGCTATGTTTGCCACATGATGGACGCTCAAGCCCCAGTTGCTATGTTTCCCACATGATGGACGCTCAAGCCCCAGTTGCTATGTTTGCCACACAGTGGATACTACAACCCCGGGTGCTGTGTTTGCCACACAGTGGATACTAGAACCCCAGTGCTGTGTTTGCCACACAGTGGATACTAGAACCCCGGGTGCTGTGTTTGCCACACAGTGGATACTAGAACCCAGGGTCCTGTGTTTGCCACACGGTGAATACTAGAACCCAGGGTCCTGTGTTTGCCACACAGTGAATACTAGAACCCCAGTGCTGTGTTTGCCACACAGTGGATACTATAACCCCAGTGCTGTGTTTGCCACACAGTGGATACTAGAACCCCAGTGCTGTGTTTGCCACACAGTGGATACTAGAACCCCAGTGCTGTGTTTGCCACACAGTGGATACTAGAACCCCAGTGCTGTGTTAGCCACACAGTGGATACTATAACCCCAGTGCTGTGTTTGCCACACAGTGGATACTAGAACCCCAGTGCTGTCTTTGCCACACAGTGGATACTAGAACCCCAGTGCTGTCTTTGCCACACAGTGGATACTAGAACTCCAGTGCTGTGTTTGCCACACAGTGGATACTAGAACTCCAGTGCTGTGTTTGCCACACAGTGGATACTAGAACCCCAGTGCTGTGTTTGCCACACAGTGGATACTAGAACCCCAGTGCTGTGTTTGCCACACAGTGGATACTAGAACTCCAGTGCTGTGTTTGCCACACAGTGGATACTAGAACCCCAGTGCTGTGTTTGCCACACAGTGGATACTAGAACTCCAGTGCTGTGTTTGCCACACAGTGGATACTAGAACCCCAGTGCTGTCTTTGCCACACAGTGGATACTAGAACCCCAGTGCTGTGTTTGCCACACAACTGAGTGGTTCCCGTTCTGGAGATGCAGCTGAGAATTTCCCTCATCAAGAATGAGACCAATCTGCTCTTTCTTATACTGTCCACATGTATAAGTTATTCATTATGTTTTATCTATTTTATGATAAAATATATATCTAGTGTGAAAATAAAAACGCTTTTCCATGCAATTAGGCGTATTGGGCATATAGTGGTTGATCTATAATATGTAGACCTGTCGGCAGTTGGTGGCTGATGTGGTTAAAATCACTCTGTCACTTTGCTTCCAGGACTTTACCTGATACCCATTTTAAGTTGAGTCGACCTGGGAGCCAATATCATTTTTGAAAATAATCTGGCTCCATGTGGACTTGAACCCGCAACCTTTGGGTCTGAGTTGAGCGTCTAGCCGCTACACTGCAATTTCTGATATACTTGTTTCATACACATCTACATGCAGATGACCTTTCTGTTCTCAGATTGATCTAAGCATAGCAAGAATCGTCAAACAGCTTCATGCGCAGCAAGAGTTGATGCAGCAGATGCAGTCAGAGCTCAACCGGCAGAGGGAGATACAGCTCCAGCTGCACCACCACCAGGTGGAGCAGGACCAGCTGCAGCACATGGCAGTGCAGCAGCCCTCCCTGGAGGCCGACATCAGCAAGCTGGAGGACATTCTTGTCTCTCGAATGGAGCATTCGTTAGCTCAACACATGCAGAGGGAAAGTATCCTTTGTTGTGTGGCACCTTTCCGTCTTTGCAAACCAAGACTTAAGTGTTACATTTAGATTTTAAACTTCCGGTCTAAAATGGAGGATTAGGCATGGCAGACTGTAAAGCTTCAATGTTATTTTTGCTTCTGACAGCGCTTTGTTAATGCACTTTCCATTTGTGGACAGTCAGTAGTCTACGGTTTCGCTGCCTGAGCTACTGAGTTCAGTGCTTGGTGGAGCACTGTGAGCTGTGTTTTTTATGTAGAAGGCCTTTAATTTATGTAGTGGTAAAGTCATTGTGGTATGTCTGGCAGCCAGTTTACATGTGGGCTGGTGAAATACCTCATGTAATAATTTTAAGAGTTTATTGCCAACTTATCGTGTCTGACTACTCATCAAGGACAAACTGAATTTCTGGTGGCGACTGTTAGCTTTGGCACCTCTAGCAACTACCATATGCATTGACCACAACACTGCCAACCGCCCTTTTAAGGACACAAGGCAGGCGAAACTACTTGTTTATCAATCCAGTACTTTGGGATCTTCTTTACTAAATTCATTTCAAACACTGGTTTACTGCCCGTAACAATCATACGATTTTCTGGATGAACTTTTTCTTTGCCTGCCATGTGATTTCCTTGACCACATGTAGCCCAGCGATTGCAAGAGTCCCTGAAAGCAAGCGATGCCCAGCGTAAGCAGAGAGATGATGCGCTTCATGAAAACATGATAGATGAAGTGGGGCGCACTGTAAAAGATACAGTTTCTAATGTACTTCGCACAGAGATTAAGCAGACCGTCACTCCAGGTAAGGAAAGATAATCATTAGAGATGATATTAGAATAAAATCCAGCTTGCTGCTGAAGATGGGGGCAGAGTACTTATGGGAATGTCCCGAGTGCTGTGATGTGAATTCTAAAGTCAGTGGCATTCAACTTTTATATCTTAGATTAAGAAAAATTAAAAGTCGAGGGGATTGACTTCATTGCCCCAGGTTTTATCTCTTAAAGCTCGCTCTCTCTTCACAGAACAGCTGAGAATTTGCTGAACACAAAGCACAAACTCCAGTTTTGGTGATGATCCCTATGGGTCTCAATAAAAAGTGCGCTCTTGAACCGATGACTGCGAAACAAACCCATGACCTGCCGACCTTTAGATTACAGTGTTGTAGATGATGGCTAGACGAGCTGTGAAAAATAAATGAGTATCAGATCATAATCTTTATAAATGTTAAAAGCCTGTCAAAAGCTTCACACAAGGCACAACCTCCATAGCTCCAGTAACTATCTGCAGGGATCTTAGGGGGGGAAAAAGGTGTGCTCTTGAATAAAATGGTGCATTCTAAAAATCAACCTAAACCTTTCTGGCAAGGTGAGCCGCTATACGACTGTGCCATGAAGACCTCTAGCACATCTGTTTGTTTATCTATCATTAATAGTGTCTTCATAATGTTTATTCAAAATCCATACATTCACAAATGTGAAGTCATGGGTCAGTTTTCGGTGCTTTATTAATATTAATTACAGCCGGTGATTGCAAAGAAGAACTGCAAAGGGATTTTTTGACAATGTAAGGTTTTTGTTTGTTTGTTTGTTATTGTAGCTCTTGTCCACTAAGGCTTGATTCATGGTCTACCTTGGGAAATATATTTAAAAACTTGTTATTTATTTTTAAATTTTAACATAGTTCTTTCTGTTGACTTACCAGCTCTTCACAAGTTTGTGGAGCCGATGAAGGAGAAGATTCACCAGGAGGTGGCCCACAGACTGACAGCATGCGACACACTCATCAAAGACAACATTGCTAAAGCTGTCAAGTCACGGGTCAGTATGTCAGTTGAATTTTCTTACCATTGTTCGCTGTCTGTGGCTTAGGTGTTGTGAACTTGCTTTGTAATTTTGAATTACCTGGTTGTATTTCATTTTTGGGAAGTTTGACAGCAGACTGCTTTGCACTGATCTCACAATATTATAGAGCTCTGATCTTATACTTTAGTCTTGAAAACTGTTCTTTCAGTCAACTATGGATGTATTAAAGAAGAATTTCTACTTTAATCTTGACTACTGTTGCTTTCAGTCAACTGTGAATGTGTTAAGAAGAAGAATCTATACCTAAGTCTTGAATACTGTTCTTTCAGTCAACTGTAGGTGTGTTCCCCCCAACCTCCCAAAAAAAAAAAAAAAACACTGCACAATAGCACGTTGCTTTTCGAGGGTATACTCTTTAGTAGAGTCGCCATTTTGTTTCTCTGTTGCGAATATACATGCAACACTTTGTCTCCGTTCGTTACCACCTAACGAACGGAGGCATAAAGTTCAGTGTTGCTGTCACCTAATGACACCTTTAGAAACCAACAACCACATTTTCCTGCCATCCCATCCCATAACCATTTGTGACTTATTGACTTCGCCTTGTAATTTACTCTTGAATACTGTTCTTTCAGTCACCTATGGATTGTTTTTAAATAAAAATGAATTTCTTCCTTAGTCTTTAAGTCATTTATGGATTTTTTGAAAAAACAAAAACAATTCTACCTGAGTCTTGAAAACTTCTTTCAGTCGACAATGGATGTGTTAGCTGCAGCAGTCGGGGATGCCATTTACCAACAGATGCAGCAAGCATACACCGACACTTTCAAGTCAGCCATGCTGCCTTCATTTAAGTCCATCATGGAGAAGACGGTCACTGACGTGCACGGTATATTTCAGCAAGGCACCAAAGAATGTAAGTTGTCTTCTTCTATGATGTCAGCATTTAGATGATTATTTTTCCTTAATTTTTTTGTCTGTGTCATCTGCCACTGTCGTCCTCTATGTTGCCTTGACAATGTATTGTCTGTCTGTTCCGTCTCTACGGTGAAAGTTGGCTTATAGTCCGTGCAGTGTGGCACAGTAGTCATATCTACACATAGCCTTCTGTCTTGTATACTTTCTATCGACTCTGACACAGATGATCTTCCATGCCATAATGTCAGTGTGTCCAGTATCTTCTCTCTCGGTCTTCTGCTGCCTTATTTGCCCTCCAATTTTCCCACTGTAAAGTTTGTACTCCAGTTTTCTCCTTCTCATCACGTGACCAAAGAATGTAGATTGTCCCCCCCCCCCCCCCCCCCCCCCCCCCCCCCCCCCCCCCCCCCCCCCCCCCCCCCCCCCCCCCCCCCCCCCCCCCCGATGTGGGCAATCAGTTCTTTTTATGAGTCAGTTTCTTTCAAGACGTCTTCTTTATACTTTTTTCTGTTGAGGGAGTCCTCATCATTAGTATACAACTCTGCTACTTCCGAATAATTTTTTTTTAAAATTAATTGTCCAAATGTCCACTTGATTCGCTTCCATATATCAGGTTATGATTTATATAGCTATTTCGAATTCTCTTTCTCGTCTCAATTGACAAAGAAGGATTGCCTAGAATATTATTTACTTTGTAAAATGCTGCCTTAGTTTAGCTATTCTACTGTTAACCTGCATTTTAATGGCATTTAAGAAATATATATTTCTAATTTAAAATTTTTGATTAATTTTATCTGTGAGGATGCGTTTAGGACTGGCATTTTTTAAAGGGGGAGGGGGAGTTGTTTGAGGCTTTGGTATCGCGGCTTGTTTGCATTATCAATTTTCTAGACTACTAACATACCTGATTGGGTTCCGGGGCCCCATTGTTGGGCAAACAAGAATAACTCACTGCCTCTAAAAAAAAAGTATGTTGTAGTAGAACTTGCTGGAGATTACAGCCGGTGAGCGTGAAGAGGAAGAAGAAGACTACTGGCACAGTTTGTGATATTGTTTTAAAAAAGTTGAGAGGTGTGAACCAACATTGTTGCACACGGTTATAAACCATAAGTGCTCTGCCACCAGTACGGACAGCTGATAAGAAACTGTCTTTCTGTGTCACCGTCTGCACGAAACTCCGTAGCTACAGCGACGTTCCTTTATTTACCCCAGACTGTTAACTCTGGTACCCATTTCCTAAAGGCTGGGTGATGCCCGGGAACGCCCAGTTTCGAACACCGGCCGTGGGCTGCAGCGAGTCACAGCTGGATTTGAAAGCGAGCCTCCTATCGACTGCCCTGATGCGGCTCCCGAAATTGATATTAAAAAGTTATTACCGTGGTTGTATATGATCGCCTGTTTCGTTGCAGATCAACTCTACATGCGTCAGAACATGGATCAAATGTTGCGGGAGAGAGTGGCCACCGAATCGGTGGTCAGTCGGATGGAGGCAGCAGGGCAGAAGTTCCTTCATAATGTTGACCAAATGAAAACCTTGGTTATTAACAATGTCAAGGAGGAGTTGAGGGGACAGGTCGCACGTGCTGTCACAGGGTTAGTTTCCACATTTCTGTGTGTTTTTGTTTTTTTCTGAAACGAGGCTTGCCACTTTTACCAGATCATACCTATGTTCACTTTTCTCATAATGCTCTCTGAGTCAGTTACAATTATGACATGTATATACAGCTAGTGTTCAAGCTAGCTGAAGGCTGTAGTGACTGCCTCTACCTCCATTCTCAAATTAGATGGTGTGATATCATATGCCAGGCTTTGTTGCACTGAGCAACGTCCATTCACTTCCTCTATGAACCTCCATATACTTCTTCTGCCTCTCAACACAGAGCCCTCTGTATGATGACACCACCTGGACAACAATTTTGGAGTAAAGCATTATGCAGAAGTTGCTGGAATCACAACAGCGGTACTGTGTCAATCCGCCTGTCGGAGCTTCAATCTTAGACTAACTGCCAACAAAGGCTAAGGGTCCGATGTGCCCTGCCATAGCATTGAATTTTCAGGTTGCATTTCCTCTGTGTCCAGATTTTTCTGGTTGTTACTGTTATTATTTACTGAGAGCCATGATGGTGTAGATGTATGTGTGCTTGCCTGCTAGTTCTATTGTCCTGTATAAATATTTATCTTGAGGCTGAATTGTTACCATGATCATGATGTGGTTCTAAAGTGGACGCACCTTGAAGTACTTATTCTTCTTAACGTTCATCAACTGTAAACTCCAACGCAAAGTTCAGGTTTTCAGTCAGCTTTTTAGACTTTTTTCTTGCACATTTGTTTTACAGATCTGGCTTATTTATATGCAGACTGTTGGTTCTTTGCCCCTCAGGCAGATGCACTGCAACTTTGAAGGAAATACCGCCAATTAGTCACCTCTTCAACAAGCTTATGGGGGGGGGGGGGCAGTGGGTCTATCCTTCCCCACGGGAGATGTGGAAATTGGTGGTGATTATGATGATGACTCCAGCTGGACAGATACCAGATCCTCCATTCAACCTTATCTTCTTCTTCAGCATTCTGAACCCTTGAGGTTCATTGCTGCAGATATCACCCGCCTCCATTCATCTCTCTGGTTGGCCTTCTCTTTCCATTTGGTAACACCAAGTGTTTGCAGGTCTGTCTGGATGTTATCTCTCCATTGTCTTCTTGGTCTCCCTCATGGTCTACGACCAGTCATCTCCCTGGTGTATACAGTTTTTACTTCTCTGTCATCTGACATTCTTTCAATATGCCCCAATAATTTCAGTCTATTAGCTCGCATGATGCCAGTGATCAGGGGTGATTTAAACAGATTATGAATTTCGTTGTTGCTTCTCACTCTCCATTCACCGCTGTTTGCATCTTTGATGGGTCCAAAGATTCATCGTAAGACTGTTTTCAAAAACCTGTAATAAGGCTTCATCTCTTTTAGTTGTGCATCTCTTTTAGTTGTGCTCCAAATTTCAGAGCCATATTAAATGACTGGTCTTATCAACGTTTTATATATTTTGATCTTGGTGTTGCGAGACAGACACTTTGACTTTAGCAGATGTTGAAGGGCATAGTATACTTCATTTCCAGATTGTAATCAGTCACCTTGTAGATGATTATATTATGACACCCTTCAGTGAACCTAAATAATAGTTCTCTAAAAAAAAAAAAATAAGTAAAGGACCTTTTCCACACTTGTAGGCGTGTTGGGCATATTGGGCTGGCTAAACCTATATTTTATAGACCAGTTGGCACTTGTGTCATTTGGTCACGATCACGCCGTATGCCTTTACTTCACATGACTTTACATGGTACCCCAAGGCTGGGTCGATCTGGGAGCTGAAATAATTTTTTTGTTTGAAAGCAGGCTCTGCCAGGACCCAAATCCACAACCTTCCAATCTGCAGGCGAAAGTCTAGCCGCTACACCATGACAACTCCCATAGTTCTCTGTAACCATGTTATATTATTTGGACCATTAAAAGTGATATTTGAAATGAACATTCCATTTACAGCATCAAAGATGACATCTTGAGCGACGTTCGCAAGATCATGAAGGAAGAGCTCACTTCTGCTATGAAGGAGCATGGAGCCAGCATCAGCGACAAGCTGACCACCTATCTCAGATCAGGAGCAGCAACTCCTGTGCCACTTTCCTCCGAGGAGGAGCACAGTAAAGAGAGGATTGCACGAGAATTGCGCATGGGAAGAATTAACGATGCTTTTCAATGTGTGAGTACCAAGTTTGCATGAAGGAATGATAGTGAATGCAAAAGTTTACGGTAGTATAAAGTATCAGTTGATACATTTGTCCGGCATTTGCTCTGTATTTTTCCTTTCTGCGTAGACATTTAACAGACTATCAGCCAAGGTTCCAACTTCATTGCAGAAGGGTCACTTATAATTGCTGCCTTCCTTTGCCAGTGAAATCTGCACAAAATGACCATCACTGACCCATGTGAAAAATCAGACAGCACGTTCCTGCAAAATCCAACAGCTTACACGTGCATCAGATGCATAAGGTAGCAGCCAGAGGTGCCAACACCTACAGTCTGTCACAGTCTGCTATTCAAAGTTGATGGAAGCAGTAGTCATTACAAACCAGCAAGGGCACAGGCATTACTGTGTAAGGCCCATCCCAGTTCTATGGCATCCAGCCACTCATCATTTTCTAAATATGCAGTTTACAACATTCCTTTCTGCAGGTGCAGATAGTTAGCATTTTCCTTGAAATTCACAGCTCACAGTGTTGCACCATGCACTCAAATCGGTCGCTGGCTGCTAGAACCAGATTTTGTCTTTACTTTGTCTGTTGTCCTAGCCAATTTCCCACTGGGGTTTGAAACCCTAACCTTCCACATAATTGCTGCCAAGGTCTTTTATTGGGCATCACTGCTCCCTTTGGAGCCTTCAGCAGGCAAGGGGTAAATCTGGCCCTGGCTATTGATCATTTGGTCTTTCCCCCCATTTCCAGGCTGCTTGTATGTGTCTGTAGGAGCATGAGTGCATGTATTTGTTTGAAGGTATATGTATGAGTATGCTTGTGTCTGTGTACATATAAGGGTGTATGTGTACCTGTATATTCGGAGTGTATATGATTGTGTATACCTCATGCGTGTATGCATTATTTCCTTATTGATAACATGCAATTGTGGTGTGAAAGATGAGCATTTGAAATGGTCGAATATAAGACCGCCCTGCGTGCCCAATTTGTAACCCTTTGAAAATGAAGTTTGTTCGTTCGTACCTAAAGGTCTGTCATACCATCCTGATATTAAAAAATCTCAGTCTGGACAACAAACCAACAGGGTGGGTCCCAGACACCCGGTTTAACCTCCAAAGAAGTTATAACTAGGGCGCCTGTAACGGCAGCACCAGCCAGGTGTCCCCTGTAGTCCTACGCAAGTAAGGACTGATTTCCCCCTGGCTCTACTCCATTCCTTCTCTATCTGTGTGGAAAAGTTGGTAACTCTAGATAAGTCTTGATAGATTTGTTTCTATGGAGACATTCATACTGGCTGTGGGTGGTTTTGCTAAGCTGAGGAGGAAAGACAACTTGCCCTAGTTGATGCCTTAAAGCATAGACTGTAGACAGATGTTCACGTCTTGATCTAAGATAAGACTTGAAACATAGATTTTATTAAGTAGTGTGTAGTTATGTTAGAGTAATAGCACCGCAGTCAAGAGTAGGTTAGTCACTTACCCCGGCAGTCTAAAAGATTGCTGCTGAAGCTTGAGCTGCTCAGCCATGTGGATTTGAAAAGCAACAGGAGACAACCAGGTTATGTGTTCCTAGAAACTAAACAGAATCTGAATGCAGAGGCGGACCTCAGTGAAGATGGATGGATACAAGACATTGAAAATGCATGGGCTATGAAAGCACATAGGGCTAGAGAATTGGCTAGAGAAAGTGAGACTTTGAGGTGTTCCCTGATCAGGGCATTGTTCTGTAAAGGACCTGCTGATGGATTAATAAAGTCAGTGTGTCATTTTTTGCTTTTTTTTTTTTTTTAATTGTTTAACATCTTTTTTTCTAGGCACTGTCAGCAGGCAACCTTGACCTAGTGGTTTACACCTGTGAGGCTGCTGACCCCTACAATATCTTTGCCAAAAGTCCTTGCCCTTTGACCCAGCCAGTTCTGCTATCGCTCATCAGTCAGCTGACTGCAAATCTAGACAAAAGCTTTGATCTGAAAATGAAGTAAGTCTGGCAAGGTTAAGGCACCCCTTAGAGAGTTTTAACAATTGCTGCATCATTTTTTGGTAGCTCCCTTTGTGGGTTTTTAGGCTGGGGGGAGGGGGGGAGTTAAGGGAGAAGCATGTTTTAAAATTAAGGGTCTTTTAAGTCCGAATGCAACTGTCTGATAGGTGAGTAACCAACAGCCTGCATTACAAATAAGCTAGATCTGTAAAATGGGTGTGCATGCAAAACTCAAGTTCTGGAACTAGACCAAAGCCCTGAAGTGGACGAACAACCAGAACTTTCTGCCAGAGTTTACAGCCGGTGAACACGGAGACGAAGCATGTGGCAACTGTCATGCACCAAGTGTTTCCTCTTTTGTCTGCACAGCCAGAGACGCCACTAGTCTGTTTCAGCATATCAGTCAAAGGCTGTCATGTTTCACCATCTCGCACGATCACAAGAATCACAGATTAGGTCAGTGTTTTGGTCTTTTCTCCATCCTCGTGGCCAAACTGTCAAGGTATTTATCTCTTTGTTTTATTTTTTTCTTCTTTTTCATCAACCTTGTCAGTCACCACCAAGTTCTTGAGGGCAATCCTTCTTATGACGTCTCCCAAAAACACCACTGTCAGCATCTCTTCTTATCCTTCGATCCTTCTGTTAGAAAACTTGCATCAGGAGGCCGGGAGCCTTTATGAAAGCTATCGTGCAGTCCACATTCTTTCGTGTACCATACAGTTTTGTCTTCATTGTGGTTGGAACAAGCCAGATTGTGTCTAAGTTGTCAGCATACAGTTGACAGTGTTGGAGCACATGCTCGGCATATCCGAGTGCCACGCTGCAGGGACACGTCTCCGTGTTGCCTACACTGAAAAAAGTTTTAAACATATGTTGACGGAGTCTTTGTGCCCTGTCTTTAGTCTTAATATAATAACCTCCCCCACCCCCATTTGTTTTTCTAACATTCCATTGTCTCTGCATTATTCTCAAACGTGAATTGCAAGGGCCAAAAAAATGCTAGAGAAGATGGGAGGGTACAGTGGACCACTGTCCATTCATCACAAGGACTTCTGTTGTTTATTGTTTCGTTATTTCAGTTTTGCAGCTATTTTGTTGTTGTTGCTATTTTCTACATTAATTAAACAAGTAAAAGACGGTGAAAACATTTTCTCACCCCTGTGCATGCCCTCACACTAAATTTCCCATGTACAGGGTCTCCTTGACTTAGGCCTGAGTTCTGTTCCGACTAAGAGATCTTAAGTCGAACAGGGTGTAAGTCAACTTTATATTTGTTTAACACCATTTTCATTCAAACGGGCTGTACAAATTGTACATAAAACACATATTTTTAATCTATTAACATTGTGAAATCAATAAACATGAACCATTTGAGTAAATAGAATTAAAAGAAAAACACTGAATCATCTCTTTACGTCCATTCTCAGGTATTTAGAGGAAGCGGTCATGAACCTGGACGCTGCCCAGCCGATGACAGCTGACCACATTCCCAATGTTCTCGGAGGCCTTATCCAAAAGTTACGTGTAGCTGAAACTCATGTTGTAGATGCCCGCAAGTCCAAGTCCATCAAAATGTTGATCATGGCAGCAAGTTCTTTGCTCTCATGATATCTCTTACAAACTGGAGATTTTTTCTGTGTGTGATGTTTGATTGTTTCTGTACATGATGTTTGATTGTAAGATTGTTTCTGTGCATGATGTTTGATTGTAAGATTGTTTCTGTGTGTGATGTAAGATTGTTTCTGTGCATGATGTTTGATTGTAAGATTGTTTCTGTGTGTGATGTAAGATTGTTTCTGTGCATGATGTTTGATTGTAAGATTGTTTCTGTGTGTGATGTTTGATTGTTTCTGTGCATGATGTTTGATTGTAAGATTGTTTCTGTCTGTGATGTTTGATAGTATGATTGTTTCTGTACCACTGTGATGCCAGTGTGCACGATCACCTTTGACTGATGTGTTGTATACTTTAAGTAGTCATACTAGATATTTCGTACGCTGTAAAAGTGTCTGGGAGAAAGAATTATCTGTGAAAAATTAAAATTCTAAAATACATCAGTTTCGTATATTACTGTCTTGCTACTATGAAAATCAAAAGAGCCTTTCTGGCAATCATGTGTTCGAGCTGGTGTAAAATTACTACGTAATCTGGCCCTTGGCTAACAGAATAGCAGAATACAAAAATATATGTTTATACACAGAAAAAAAAAAAGAAATGCAAATATCAACATTAAAAAAACTGGAAACCTCAGCAATGATGAGCAGAAATTGATGTTGCTGGATTGTTGATCCTGCTGGTGAAACACATGTTGCTGGATTGTTGATCCTGCTGGTGAAACACATGTTGCTGGATTGTTGATCCTGCTGGTGAAACACATGTTGCTGGATTGTTGATCCTGCTAGTGAAACACATGTTGCTGGATTGTTGATCCTGCTAGTGAAACACATGTTGCTGGATTGTTGATCCTGCTGGTGAAACTCATTTTGCTGGATTGTTGATCCTGCTGGTGAAACACATGTTGCTGGATTGTTGATCCTGCTAGTGAAACACATGTTGCTGGATTGTTGATCCTGCTAGTGAAACACATGTTGCTGGATTGTTGATCCTGCTAGTGAAACACATGTTGCTGGATTGTTGATCCTGCTAGTGAAACACATGTTGCTGGATTGTTGATCCTGCTAGTGAAACACATATTGCTGGATTGTTGATCCTGCTAGTGAAACACATATTGCTGGATTGTTGATCCTGCTAGTGAAACACATGTTGCTGGATTGTTGATCCTGCTAGTGAAACACATGTTGCTGGATTGTTGATCCTGCTAGTGAAACACATGTTGCTGGATTGTTGATCCTGCTAGTGAAACACATGTTGCAAACAGCCTCAGGCATAAGCAGGCAGTGTAGAGGAAATTGGATGTTATGTTTATAATATACTTTTTTCTATGTGAACTGCAGCAGGGTTGCCATTTCTAAATGTGGCTCATGGACAACAACAAAACAAAAGTTTGCCCACCATTCTGCTGCATGGTCTGGACATCAAGGGGAAAACTGGCTCATAAACAGCATTCTGCCCCGAAAGCTGAAGTATTTTGGTCATGTTAAATGTCATAGTGGCCTGGAGAGAACGGTGATGGAGGGTACATTTTCCAGAAAATGAGGCAGAGGCAGACCTGGGCAAATGTAGATACAAGGTATTGAAGATGGCTTAATGCACATAGGGTTGGAGAATGGGCAGAAGAGAGACTTCCAGGTGTGCCGTGACGAGAGCGACATTCTTTAAAGAACCTGCTGATTGACGATATACATACGACTTTGGGCAAATCCATACTTGCTTTGTCTCCCCAGGAGCCACCGTGGTGTAGCGGCTAGACACTCGCCTACAGATCCAAAGACCATGGGTTGAAATCCGTATGAAGCTAGATTTTTTCAATTGTGACCTTTACTCTTAGGTCGACCCAGCCTTAAATGGGTACCAGGCAAATACTTGTGAAGTAAAGGCAGCCAGCTTGATGTTCACCACATCATCCACAGAGTGCCGATTGGTCAATAAAATGTAGGTCTAGCCTTATGTGCCCAGTACTGCTGAAGGCAAGAAAAAGGGTCCCTTTTACTTTACTTTTTATAAAGGTGTAGTAAATGTCTGAGAAAAATGTTGAATATGAAATGGGATAAAGTTAAGAGGTAAAAGTAAAGTAAAGATCCCTTTACGCCCAAGCATCGGGTATATGGGCAAAGCGTCCCAAATTTTTACAGACCAATCGGAACTGGATGGGTAATGTGATCAGCATTACGCCAGCCGTCTTTACTTCCTCAGGACAGCCATCCTGGGGTGAAGAAAAAAGAGAAATGACTGGGCAACCACTAGTATCAACAGTGATAATACAGAGGGCGCTACATTGGACACATCCCAAGAATAAATGAGCAGAGAATCAACAAACTGATACTTAGTTTCGTATCCTTTACAGGACGTTGCAGAACCAACCCCAGCATTTTTTGGCTGTTGTGGTTTTCCTAGGCAAGTTTACGTCCAGTAGTTTGCCATTGCTTTCTAAAGCTGATACTTCAATGGGAAATAAAGAGATTGAGGAAGTGAGGACACCGAAAAAAAACTACAGCAAATGTTAATGAGAGAGGCCAAAGGCACTGGACTGGATTCCCTCCAGGATCGAAAGGAACTGAGGATTAGACTGTAAACCTTACATGATATATAAGGACACAACAGGACAATGAGGATGATAGGTGAAATAAAAATCTACATGGGACCATTAGATTAGGTATAGTACAGTGATTCCCAAACTGTGCACCCCGGGGAGCCGCGACCTCTTCACAGGGGCGCTGCAAAATATTGTGAAAGCTTCATAATTCATTTAACCAAGAAATGAATAGCCATACTTTTACTTAGGTTAGGGCGCCGTGGAAAAATTTTAATTGAAAAAAGGCGCAGCGACCAAGAAATGTTTGGGAAACACACTGGTCTAGTAATTATTAACATTTCAAGAAGAGACTTGATTGTTAGATTACATTCTTTTGTTTGTTTGCTTTATCACATCTGTGGCTTAGGCGTTGCGATTGTGCCTCGTAATTGCGGGGTGCCGGGTTTGATCCCAGCTGTGGGCCTTTTGCTGGATTCAAAAGTGGTATCAAGAAGCTGACCGTCCAGAAAGTAATGGCAAACTGCTGGACATAAATTTGCCTAGAAAAACCACAACAGCCAAAAAATGCTGGGGTTGGTTCTGCCAACGTCCTGAAAAAGGATATGCAACTTTTGTTTATCACATGAAGACAAGGTCTTTGAAGTTGCCTTGCCTGTTGTTTGTACTTTTATCTGAGACTGTTGTTTTCATAAATATGCTCTTATCTGAGAGTGTTGATGTCATGACTAGTGTTTTTTCCCCCACACGTGATTATAGCTGTTTTAAATCTGGGCTTGTTTGGCGCTTAGAGTTCAGAAATTCTCTTGGGAGGATTGTTTTATGTGTGCCAGAAACTGAACATGAGATTACAATCCAAGAGTTGGATTGTATCAAGAGATGGAGAAAAAGGTGTTGAGCTTACATCAAGTGAGGTCACGCAGAAAAGTTGGAATTTTTAACAGTAAACCTCTTTTGTCCTGTATGTACTAGAAAGATAGTTAATAAACACCTGTGAATTTCCAACAAAACAATCCTTAAAAAAAAAAAAAAAAAGGTAACTAATGAAGAATTGTGTAAAAAAATGTATCTTTCTACTTTATTACATTTTTGTTTCAAATGACAAGTATATAAAAGGAGGAATCGGTAGACAAGAACCAAGTGAAGCATTAAATGAAATGCATTCCCAGGGCCTAAAAACAAATCTATCAAGTACTCATGCCATGACTGTGTCACCTCTATCACTGAGGCTTAAGGGAAAGTTTTAAGTCAACCTAGCTCTAAAAAGGCTATTGGAGTCATAAGAAACCTCTCTAAATGCTATATGTAGTTGCTATATTCACACCCAGGCCTCCTAAACACTGCAGGTGCACAATGAACCAAAGGCATTTAAGTAAGCTTTTTGAAACCAGGTCACTGCAGAAATGGCCATATATTGGTATTTACAGGCTGTGTAACAACCAGAAGTGACCAGATGTAACTATCTCGATCCGAAAGGGTTAAAGTAGATACTTGAATGAAGTAGAGAAAAGAGTTAGCATAACAGTGAAGTGAAGCAGAAGGAAGAGTTAGTGCAGCAATCAAGTGAGATAGAGGGAGGCTTAGTGTGGCCGTCAAGCAAGATAGAGGGTAGGATTTAGTGCTGCAATCAAGTGAGATATAGGGTAGATTTAGAACAGCAGTCAACTGAGATATAGGGTAGATTTAGAACAGCCATCAAGTGAGATATAGGGTAGATTTAGAACAGCCATCAAGTGAGATATAGGGTAGATTTAGAACAGCAGTAATGTGAGATATATGGTAGATTTAGTGTGGCAATCAGGTGAGATATATGGTAGATTTAGTGTGGCAATAAGGTGAGATATATGGTAGATTTAGTGTGGCAATCAGGTGAGATATATGGTAGATTTAGTGTGGTAATCAGGTGAGATTTATGATAGATTTAGTGTGGCAATTAGATGAGATATATGGTAGATTTAGTGTGGCAATCAGTTGAGATATATGGTAGATTTAGTATGGCAATCAGTTGGGATATATGGTAGATTTAGTGTGGCAATCAGTTGAGATATATGGTAGATTTAGTGTGGCAATCAGGTGAGATATATGGTAGATTTAGTGTGGTAGTCAGGTGAGATATATGGTAGATTTAGTGTGGTAATCAGGTGAGATATATGGTAGATTTAGTGTGGCAATCAGTTGAGATATATGGTAGATTTAGTGTGGCAATCAGTTGAGATATATGGTAGATTTAGTGTGGCAATCAGTTGGGATATATGGTAGATTTAGTATGGCAATCAGGTGAGATATATGGTAGATTTAGTGTGGCAATCAGGTGAGATATATGGTAGATTTAGTGTGGCAATCAGTTGAGATATATGGTAGATTTAGTGTGGCAATCAGGTGAGATATATGGTAAATTTAGTGTGGTAGTCAGGTGAGATATATGGTAGATTTAGTGTGGTAATCAGGTGAGATATAT